TATTATTAGCAGTAGTAGTAGAAGTAGTGGAAGAATTCCCATTAGTAGTATTAGAAGAAGTAGTGTAATAGAAGTCGTAGTAGTAGTAGTAGTAGTTGTAGTAATAATATAGTACACTAATAGTAGTATTATCATCATACATCTGTACAATTTGTTACATGTTGTTTCATCTTAAATGATTTCATTCACTCCCCAAAGCGCATGCTCGCTCTGCTCACCCTCAATATGAGGTCCTTGATTCCTTTGTGACAATCGTCATCATTATTCCTATGACATAAAAATGTGTGTTTTTTAATTTGTATTTGTTTGCTACTGGCAATTGTCTTCGTAACAAAGAATGAGAAGTTATTTTTAGCAATGTTGCAACGTGTGTCATGTGAGAATTAGCAACTTTGCACCACAAATATTTGTTGATGGCTTGGCTGCATACAATCTCCCACTAGAAGTGTTTGTTTAATACATTAACAATTTTCTGCCTGATAGGGGGTCAAGCTTTGATGTCTGGTTTCATTTTAATATTTGTTTTAGTCATGTAATATACTACGTTTGTATTTTAATACTCATATTAAAGCACGTACTATACATTTTTCCATTGCCAGGGGCGAATACATGTACGTACGTATAACGGTGTGGGGTGCTCCGGTCTATTTCAATAAGAGAGATAAGAGAGAGTGAGAGAGAGAGAGAGATAAATGAGGTGGAGAGAAAGAGAGGTCTACTTTTAATTCGAATTCGGTTTATTGATTAATATCCCAAAATGAAGGATTATTCTCAAATGTATCTTTACAAGGATATCTTCCAAAGGATAGGCCTAACAAATTAAAGTTATAATTGTTTATTTTTTTTGAGAGAGAGAGGAGGCGTGGAAGAGAGGGAGAAAGAGAGATAGGGAAAATAGAAAGAGGGAGAGAGAAAAATTTGAAAAGAAAACAAAGAAGGAAATTATATAAAATAAATGATGGGGTAAGAGAACTATACTTATATAAATCAAATCAAATAAATTCAAAACCATTTCGCTCACTACCTGACAGGTTTATCTCTTTAGAACATGCACTTATTTTTCGGCCATCAATTGGTACTTGGTTTAATTGCTTTTCGGAGAAAAACAATAAATATATTATGGTAATTGCTTTTAAATGAGATATAGCTACTTTTATTAAATCTAATTTCGGTGATTTAATCATAGTATTTTACAAACGTTTAAAGTGACTCGGGAACATTGTTCAAGGTTGATGAAAAAACTGTGTAATTTTTGTATGAAATGTTACCTATTATATTCCTTCTACTGTACTAATCCTCTAACAAGAAACAATCCTGAAGAAATTCTCAAACCTCACAGATATTTATGGTTTTCTTTGAAGGTGTCACTGTGCAACACCCTCTAACAGTAAATTCTCCCAACCATTTTTGAATTTTCCAACCGTTTTTCCATGAAAATAAGACATCAGACAGGCTTTAAAAAAAATGTCAACACCTACATGTCTGGAATGGTATATACAGGTAGAGCCAATTCATTGTTTTGTGACAATTTACATTCACCTAAAATGTAATTAGATTGTCATAATATAGTTGAGATATTTAAGGAATCGATCAGATCATTTTTTCCAATTGTTATCATTGATGATTGTCTGTTTTTACTCGAACCTTCAGATTTTCTTTAATTGTACATGCACCAAGCATTGACGTCACTGCCTTAACACCATTTTCTGTCAAATGAACAATGTTACCAAGTCCCTTTAAACGTACAGTGGGACGCAACTATTAAAGGGAGAATATTACCACATGAAATATACCGCCGTACCGGAAGATGTTCTAACCATTGTCAGAAAACTACAAACAATCTTGAAGTTTATTGTAAAATAGGAGTTCAATTACGAATCATCTGGATCTAAAATTGTATTGAGTGGATCAGCCCTATAGTGGACTATCATTCAACTTTGTTTCCTTTTAAAAGTGATTTTAATTTTAAAAGAATACTTTTTTGTGGATTTTGTTTTCTTTAAAGAGATAATCAAGTTTATGGCATACAAATGTACATGCTGCTTGAGAATTTCGATTTTTTTTTTTTTTGTGTGTGTGTGTGTGTGTGTGAAGAGTTTTGTGTTCGTTCTTTTGTTCATCTTACCCTTTTTTACTTTTGTGACATCCACAAATTTATTAACCAACTCTTTTAATGATTTTATTTCTATGAAAGCAGAAAAAAAGCTAAATAAAGCGTTGAAAGGTTGAAATAAATAGGACAAATAATAATAGATTCATGAATGTTTGAAATAAAAACTATGAGATCCCCATAGCTATGCGAATTTCGAATTGGCATAATTGTCAGTACGCGTATTTTTCCTTTACACGGCAGCCTGTGATTTTACGGCTTTAATTTCACCCTAAAAAGGCCGGGCTATTTGAGGTCTTAGTACGGCCGGGGGGGGGGGGTCATTACGGCCCCCCTTAAGATCTCGGCCGCGAAAATTTGCACGCATGTCAAGTGAAGTGTATAAAATAATATGATAATTTAAATTTTTTGGAAAAAATTCACTCATTTGCATATTTATGGTAATTTATGCAAATAAAGTCATAAAAATCACATTTTTACCCATGAATCATATATAATTCATATTTAAGAATTCTTTTTCACTACATATATTCATTAGACCATTCCAAATAATAATATGACAAAAAAATTTGGAATAGCCAGCTTATTCCTTATAATATGTTATCCCTTGTTTTGATAATTTCTTAAGTATTTCATAGTTTTTTTAAACTTATGTTTTTCATTGTTGTTGTTGTTTTATTTCATTTCTTACTACAATTCAACTATTTTGACTATCAAAACAACCACCTTAACTGTAAACAAGACCCAATAACCCATGGTTGTCCTGTTTTTAGGAAAAATGACTTTTCCATATGTTTTGTACACAAATCACGAAAATGAGCGATTTTCGGGCTGACATGCAAAGACAAAAGGTCACGTGACCTTGTAACCGTAGGTCCGATTTTCAAAACAATTATTTTAAAAGTTGCGCAAGACTCGAAAGAAAAAGTCAGCGAGCGGCGGGGCGCCATCCATATGCGTTACCGAGCAATCAGAAAAATTGTGGAGGGGGGGCCCATAATGCCCCCCCCCCCCCCCGGCCTTATTAGGGTTAACGCGCTCGCAAAGAGTTTAGCTACGAAAGTTTGGAAAGAGGTCACAATCAATTAGACTTTGATTATTTATTGCTTTGCCTGATTATGTTTTACAAGCAAACATATAACTGAATAAGCATACTGTAAGCATGCGTCACCAAGAAAACGCGTATAAAGAGTGTTTTATTTTAGATTGGACGCGGTCCGCGCGGTGCCGTATTTAGGTGTTAAAATGTTCTTTTTTGGTCATTTTCAAGAAATATACTTATATGTGGATTTTCTTTCCTTAAAAAGATGACCAAGTTTATGGCCTACAATATATTATCGTTTAGTCGTTACTGAATGTAAATGCTGCTGCAGAACATAATTGTATTCGATATCGTTTCTTTTTGCTTCCTTATAGTGACGTTTACAAAGGGAAACCAATATTTAAAAGCATTTAGATCTTTTGAAGAGATTTGTGTTTGTTTTTTGTTCATCTTAGCTAGTTTAGCTACGAAAGTTTGGAAAGAGGTCACAATCAATTAGACTTTGATTATTTATTGCTTTGTTTGACTATTTATAAAGGCAAACATAAATTATAACTGAATAAATACCCAGGGATCTCAGTCGAATAAACATACTGTAAGCATGCGTGACCAAGAAAATGCCTATACAGGAATGTTTTATCTTAGATTGGACGCGGTCCGCGTGCCGCATTAAGAAGTTAAAAACGTCAATTTTGGGCCATTTCCAAGAAAAAGTAGACTTCTTAAAAAGCATTCAAATTCCCACTGTACGCGCCGGTATACGCGTTTAAAGGTATTTTCTTGCCCTCAGAGCCAGACCGGGAATGAATTTAAAAAAAAAGGTAATAATTGCCCTTTGGCGAGACTACCTGCCGTCGCCTGAGCTCGCCGGTATGATCTTCCAGTGGCGGATCCAGGGGGGCATAGGGGGCACGTGCCCCCCCCCCGGTCCCCCAAAAAGTTTTAAAATCAGCCCCAAATTCGCCAAAAATGTACTGAAAAACAGGAACGTGCCCCCCCCCCCCCGCTCCCCCCCCCCCCCAAAAAAAAAAAAAAAAAAAAAAATCAGTACGCACCCCCCCCCCCCCCTCCCTCCTCCTATTCAGCGGCTGGCTGAGTCGTTGCGATTTTGGGGGACCAAAACAAAAAATGTGCTCTTACCCCCCTTTGTGACAGTATTATATTTAAGTCATGTTGTGTGTTGGAACGAATGGGAAAGTTGTACTGCACTTTGTCACAGTGATATTTCCTATACAGCCTTTTTGAAGTTCCCATTCGTATAGTGATTACAATTTTTTAGAATACATAACGTTTTTATTTTTGGTCCGATTTCGTTCAAACTTCCACCAGGTGGCTGCGACTCTGATTGTTCACTTTTCTTTAGATATTTTTGCTATTAAGGTTCGATTTCCTTTTAAGTCGAATTATACTTTTGTTTTTATACTTTTTCCCTCCACAGGGATTTTATTGATATTCATTTCCAACAAATTAACAAGGTAATTTATATTAATAATATGAATAAAAGTGACTACTCAAGATACAATTATTAGTTGAACTGTCGAGTTAACAGAAGACATACATATTAATTATTTGAAAGGAGTACTCATTTAGCACATACTTTTTTGCTTTTAAATTCATATTTGACTATAGTCAGCATTTGATTGGTCATCTTATAACCCCAAATACTCCAAAATATGTCGGCAAATTAAAGAATGGAATTTACAATCATACGTCTAACATCGTAATGATATGTAAATAATGCGTCATATGTCTTTTTTCTTAATTGTTCATAATTTTATGTAAACAGAACATCATAGTGTCAATAAAGACATATCATCATGTGATGTGTGGATGCTGGTATAAGAGATGCATTGCTCACTGTAACTCGCTCATAGTGTCAGAATACTTCATTCAATAACAGGTGTGTCTCATAAATCGTGAAATATGAAGATGGGGACATTTCTTCCTCTACTGCGGATACTAGTCTGCATGCATGTACTCTGGTGGGGCGTACAAGGAATGACTACCGAATGTGAGTATGGCATACGTAGAATATAGAACCAAACGCCAGTATATATGCAGTGTGTCCCAGAAAAAACGAAACCTCAAAACAAACGGTAAATGGGAGAAAATTGTTAGCTTTGTTGAATAAATATTTTGCTTTTCATTAAAAAAGAGTAATATGCTCTCGAATGCTCCATTGGAAACATTAATCCATATACGCTTCTCTGAGAAACCTTGGTTTTAAAATGGCCTGTGAAAATCCATTAGTGCCAGAATGTTGCTCAGCGAGCATGTATGGATTTGTATCATTTGAATACATAATACATGTACTTCATGTAAAGAGAGATTGTATATTTACAGCTCATAGTTTGTTCTTGGAAGCGCTGTGTATATGAATAAAAACTTGGAATATTTCTTACAATTTAGACCTCAATGTGACGGATTGATGGCTGTTTAAAAGACGCATTGTGAGGAGCAATGACATCCTTTTGTACTGGGGATGGGAGGGGGAGTGGTGTTATGAGGGGCTATTCCGTGGCGTGTACAAGGAATTCAAACCAAGTATGAGTATGAAATACGTATGTAGAGTTACACGCAATTAAACGTAATATGAATAATAACTGGGACCATTTCTACAATCTAGACCTTTTTTTAGCGTATGCATGTACATGTACATAGTGTGACATGAATTGTTTTCATCTTCTCTACTTTGATATACTTGCAATTCATGGTTTGATGTATTCGGCTATTTTGTGTTATTTATTTATGTAAAGTCACATAGAATTGAAACGAAGATTTTGGGATTATGGTTATTAAGTTTATCTGTCTCTTCTGTCACTTCAAATCTCACTATTGTTTTGTATTCACTGATTCTTGATTTGTCTTTGCCGAATAAAAGAATTAAGATATTGATAATATACAGTGCGTCCCTGGAAAAACGAAACCGAGTATTATTGATGTTTTATAATAACTTAATCACAATTATAATTAATAAGTGACACATATTTGTAAACCTTAGACCCACTATTTCATTTGATGCAACTCATATGATGCAGAAAATGAAAATGAAAAATCACATGATTCTAGAAATGTGATTTTCTCTTAGATATTCAAATACCGTCCGCCAAATGACTTTTTGATTCTCTCTCTTCAAAATGATTGTAATCACTCATGCGTGAAATAAAATATGCATCATATGAGTTGCATCAAATGAAATAGGAGGATCTAAACTTTACAGATATGTGTCATTTGATAATTATAATTGTGACTAAGTTATGATAAAACATCGATCATTCTCGGTTTCGTTTTGTATGGGACGCACTGTATATTTAAACAAGCTATGATAATATCACAATCATAAATGTGACGAATAAATGGCTGTATAAATACGCCCTTCTTTAGTAGCCCTTAATTTTCCAGCTTTTTGTGGCAGAGAGTAATGGAGGTATTGCTTGTCCAGGAGAGAGGATGCAATTACCCTTTTATCGAATACAATAACCGTGTATACTCTCTAAAAACAAGGAAAAGGGAGTCACGTCAATTATCACATGTTTAGGAGTGAATATCGAAATATGTTAAATAGTGGCCTCTACAAAAGAGTGACTTTCACTTTATTTTCATTACATTTTCACTCTCTGGAAAAATCACGTCAGTAATCACTCGATAATTTTAGAGAGTTTATAAAATTCAAATTATGAACTGCTGTTTTCATACGTAGGGTTATCATTATACATATTCCTGATCCTATCTCTTTGAACAATGGAACAGTTAGGGACTAAATTTGGACTAGTCTTTACAAAACAGTTTGTATTACCAATGCCGCTATCTGTATCATGAACATTTCTATTATCTACAGCTATTATGTTATAGAATGTAAAGCAAGGTGTTTGGTATCCGCAGCCCTTAAATGTATCCACTTATTACTATCTGATCGCTACTCTCCCTTGACCCTTTCCCTCTCTTACGTCTCCCTGAATCTCTCTCTCTCTCTCTCCATCTTTTACTTCTTGTTAGCCGTTCGCTTTTCACTATGAATTGTTTACATATGTATATATATTATATGACATATTTTTACTTATAATGAGGACGTTTATTTAAGTTGTACTTAATATGAGGCCTATTTTTCTAAGTATTATTGCATGTGAACATACATGCTTAAAGTCATACATTTGTGATGGTGTAAATGGAGAATAAACTTAACAGCCAATCAAATCAAATCAATACCTATGGAAAATATGACAATGCATTAGTTAACAGCTTATATACATTCTCCATTATCTCCTACATAATCTTATAATTATTATTATTTTTTTTTTAATAATCTTATGTATTGTTAAGGCAAAATAGTCATGTAGATCCTTGTCTAGTCTTCTTGTCTACGATCTTGCCATAAAATTCAACTATTTATCGTTTGTCAATTATTGCACCATCGTGCCCGCATATATAACGTAACCAGAATACCACTATGGCACATATGACTTAATTATTAACCATAGTTAATAGTTAATATTGTTAATAGTGAATGAATTATTAATAGTTACAAAATGTATTGACAGTGCAGTTCTTTTTTTTAATAAGCTTTCAAACTGCTTCTGAATACCATTTAGTTACAGGTAAGGACAACATATGCGTCGACAATATGACGAGATGATTTAGAACAAGAATTAGGAGGAGAAGACGAGATGAAAGTGTCGGCTTGTTTTAAGAAGAGAAAACAAGATAACTAGTTGCTGGAATGGGAGCGACACCTCGATTTGTTTTAGATGAGAAGAAGAAAAAGCCAGTTGTTGGAACTCAGTAAATCGACTTGTTTAGGACGAGAAGGCCAGATGACGTATTCTAGGAAATAGGAAAGTCGGCTTGCCGAGTTCCAGCAAATCGTCGACTCGTCTTAAATGAGTCGATTTGCAGATCAATTTACAACAATTCGTCAACCGTCCTCTTGTTCTAAATAAGTTGACTTGCTGAGTTCCAATAACTTGTCTTCTTGTCCTAAATCATCTTGCCATCTCGTCCGCTCCTTTACGATTCCGTACTCTATAGTAGACGTGCGATTGCTAAGTGGTTGAACAGTAATAGTTTCTAAATCGGGAGGTTCCGGGTTCGAAATCAAATCGATTCGCTAGTGCCTATATGGGTAATGCAGTAAATCTTCATTACCAAGTCCCTCGGAGGGACCTTTAAACAGTTGCTCCCCTAGGAGCTGACTTGCAAGCATTCACTTAGTACTCACTTTGGAGTCAAGTAAATGTAAAACAAACTAAACATCAACTCAACCATCAATAGTTGGCATAAGGGGAAGGAGACCATCAAACTACATGGAACAGATAAACCGTGGATGACCGCCGGAGTCAAGGGGTTAATAAACCAGCGACAGACGGCATTTCACAATAATTCCTCAAACCATAACAATCTCCGTAAGAAAGTGCAGAGAGAGATCTGTCACGCAAAGGAAGCTTTTTACCGAGATCGCGTCCAACACCTCAAACACGAAAATCACATGGTATCGCTATATCAAGGTCATGTCTTCCCACATGCAACACGATGTGTACGCTCCTGCTTATAGACCCTTTCCACCACACTCTATACCCAAAACGCATGTTGGAAAAAGTGGCGGTCCAGATGGAATATCCCCACGTTGGATCCGTGAATTCCCCATTGAACTCAGCTCCCCATTACGCCACATTTTTAATGCCTCCTTTGAGCAAGGGATAGTCCCAAGTCGTTGGAAGAGATCACTCAATGTTCCAGTTCAAAAGGATAACACGCCTTCCGTGCAGAAGCTGCGACCTATATAGCCCTAACGGATTTTTTTGCAAAGCTCCTTCAACTGTTGGCTTACAAATGGCTCATGGCAGACATCTCCCCTTCAATCGACTCTCAGCAATTTGGCAACCGCTCCGGCCTATCAACAGGCCACTTCCTATTGAACTTGATCGAGTACTTGCATTCTAATGCTGACGATTTGCACGCTAATGCATTCTAAGTCCGGATTAATCACAACAGTGGTACTTACCGATTTCTCTAAAGCATTTGACTTAGTTGATCACAATGTCGCAATTAATCAGCTGTTCACCATGGGTGCAAGACCATCCCTCATCCCATGGGTTCGCTACAAGGACGAACTCTTGATGAACCTTACTACGTCGGCAGGGGTTTTTCAAGGCTTCCGTCTCGGACCGCTCATATTTTTTGCTGTTGTCAACGACGCACGTCAGACGTCAGATTGCCACCGATGAAACTTAACTCCGTTTCATTGGCAATCAGCCATGCTTGAAGTCTTTCGTCTATGTCTGATCGTCAACGAAACGGAGTTAAGTCTTTTGTCTATTCTGTTTGTTGCTACGGCAGGCAGCCAGTGAAAACGAATTCGTTTAATCAAATTATGGAAATGCAAGCATCACTTTAAACAGACAGAACTTTGTTATTCCTGGCTCATTTTTTCCTGATTGAGGTGTCATATGAAAGAGCAAAATATGAACTGTCTAGAAATGAGAATTTTTCTTTGAAATTCAGATACCGCCCACCAAATGACGTTTTGGTTTCCTTTCTTCAAATTACTTTTAATCCCTCATGCGTGAAATATGCATCATATGAGTTTAATTAATTAAAAGAATAGGAGCAAGCATCACTTTAAACAGACAGAACTTTGTTATTCCTGGCTCATTTTTTCTGATTAAGGTGTCATATGAAAGAGCAAAAATGAACTGTCTAGAAATGAGAATTTTTCTTTGAAATTCAGATACCGCCCGCCAAATGACATTTTTGTTTCCTTCCTTCAAATTACTTTTAATCCCTCATGCGTGAAATATGCATCATATGAGTTAAATCAATTAAAAGAATAGGATCTATGATTTACAAATATGTGTCATTTATTAATTATAATTGTGATTAAGTTGTGATAAAACATCGATAATTCTCGGTTTCGTTTTTTCTGGGTCGCCCTGTATATAACTACGGAGTTTCCTTTCCTGGAACTTCTCACATTGCCTCTAACAGTTGCGTTTTAACGCAATACTAACGGTTGCATCAGTTACCGGATGAATTTGCGTTTAAATCCAACTTTAAGAAACGTAACCTGATATTTTGTTTAATCACCCATCAGAATCGCTAATTCAGACTTTTTTAAATATTTCTTAAATTTACGTTCAAAATAAACTTTACTGTGCAAGATCTAGAGTGCCCTAAAGTTATCATATTATGTTTCGATTTCGTTCCATCTGTTCTGTCTAGCAAGCGACGACACATTGATTGACTTCCTAAGCGGTGCAGGTTCCTATGAGGGCGTGGTGTATTACCAAGCAGAGGGTCGACGTGCCTTGATATGCGATCAAACATGGACTAACAATGAAGCCGCTGTGGCATGTCGTATGCAGGGATACGAAGGTGGTACAGCAACCAAAGTAGTCGATCTAGCACGAGAGGATTATACTGATAACTTCCAATGGGATATCGTATGTGATGGCGATGAGGAAAGACTAGGAGACTGCCCTGTGTCAAACAAAGAAGACAACCCGACCTCATGCGATCCTAACAATATAGCTCAGGTCAGATGCGAACCAAATATAGGTAAGATATCAGTATCACAGGCGCGTACGCAGGGGGAGGAGGGTACCCCCCTTCAGTTTTTAGTATGAGTATGTTTTGGAGACCCCCCCTTTTTGAATTTAAATTATTTTTTTAATTTTTCCTATTAACAAAAAACAAAACAAAATCCTAATGGATGACCTAAAAAAGATGACCTTACCCCCTCCCCCAACGGAACGGAATGACGATCGGTCAAATTTTCAAATTTCGGGACCAAAAAAATAAACATATGTCCTCATACCCCCCCCCCCGTCTTTGCGAATTTTTTGGTTAAAAAAAATGTCCTCTTACCCCCCCCCCCCCCCCCCGCTTATTCAGCGGCTGGTTGAGTCGTTGCGAAATTGTTTGCCCGATTTCAAAATGTGAACCCCCCCCCCTTGAAAAAATTCTGCGTACGCCACTGCAGTATCATCATCCTGAAATTAATGACTGGACAACTATTTATGGGTGTGCAGTTTACATAGAGCAATATTCCAGTGCATCTCCCCTCCCCAATCTTTTGATTACCCACAAGTACCCCTATTTTCCAGGGGAATTGTACCCCAATTTATTTCAGATAAGTGCTCTTTTTTCTTCGAAATAGGTGCCAGTTCCACATTCTTACCAGTGCCCCTTACCAGCTATGATTAGTTACATCGTCAGAAAAAATGACAATACATTTATTTTATACATGACACAAACGAGGTTGTAAGAAACATTTTCTACTTTTTTTTTGGCTAAGGAGCTAGATTTAAGAGGCCACTTTTTTTCTTTTTTTTTTGGTCTCGAAATTTGGAAATTTGACATTTTGCTCAGTTGGGGGGGGGGGTAAGGTTACCTTTTTTAGGTCGGCCGTGGGCATATTTTTTTTTTTTTTTATACAAAAAAGAAAAAGAAAAAAATCAAGGGGGGGTTTGGTTTTTTTAGGGGGGTTTACATACATAAAATTACCAAAGGGGGGGGGTTAACCCCCCCCCCCCCTGCGTACGCGCCTGTATAATTGTACACTTTTTTTTCTCTTTTTTTGGTCTCGAAATTTGGAAATTTTACATTTTGCTCAGTTGGGGGGGGGTAAGGTCACCTTTTTTAGGTCAGCCGTGGGCATATTTTTTTATTTTTTATTTTTTTTATACAAAAAAGAAAAAACAATCAAAAGGGGGGGGGTTAGGTTTTTTTTAAGGGGGTTTACATACATAAAATTACCAAAGGGGGGGGGTTAACCCCCCCCCCCCCCTGCATACGCGCCTGTATAATTGTACCTATATGAAATAATTCAATTAGTGCCGCCATTCTTTTTAAAACAAGATTGGGACATGCGGATGACTGGAAGTGAGTACTCGGAGCAAGGACGGGTGGAAACCTATACGAACGGAGAATGGGTCAAAGTGTGGGCGGTTGCTGTCCATACTACCTACGAAATGCTTTGTAGAGCCATGGGGTATGATGAGCCGTTGCATCATTACGAAGGAATAGAGCAGATGCCTTTCCAAGGAGGTTCACAGGATGAAGGAGTCATGTGTATGCCATCATCAGACGACATCATCAGCTGCCGTAACGTGAGTGAGATACCTGGAAATGGTTCTAACTACGAGACAGGCATCGTGTGTAAACCCTTTGGTAAGTTTGATGTCTGTCATAGGCTCTTTTGTTTTGTTTTTCCTCACTGTCAACGGTTCTTGCTTTAATCCGGGGGGGGGGGGGTCGAGATACATCCCTCTACATTTGGGAAAGGGGTATAGATTGTAAAAATATACCTTATACTTTTCTAGGGGTACAAAAATCGATCTAAAGCCCCCAATTTCTTTGTTAAGGGAGAGATGTAAAATGGGAGGGACTTTCTTTTTAATTGTGTTTTAAAAAAACTCATCATGCATATAAAATCTATCATGGTGTGTCTTAAGCAGGGCTCCCACTTGGCCGAGTTGTGTTAGCGAGTTATTTATGGCGAGTTGTGGTGAGTTGCCTCAAAGAGGCACTCGCAATAACTCGAAAACAATTCGGTATGGCTTAGCGTAACTCTTTACAACATTCCACGACTCTCCTCGAAGTCGCGAACAGTTCCAAAATTTTGAACATGTTCAAAAAATTTCCCCGACTTGTTGTAATTTGAGGTGAACTCGCCTACACTCGTAATATACACGCATTACTCGTAACAAGCTCGCGCTGCACTCTCCACAAGGTGGCGAGTTATGAAGAGTGCAGCGAGAGCTTGTTACGAGTAGTGCGAGTATATCACGAATATCGAGCAAGTTCACCTCGAGCTACAACAAATCAGCGGAAATTTTGAACATGTTCAAAATTTTCACTGATTCGTTGTTACTCGAGGTGAATTCGTTGTTACTCGAGGTGAACTCGCTTACACTCGTAATATACTCGCATTACTCGTAACAAGCTCGCGCTGCACTCTTCATAAGGTGGCTAGTTGCTACGAGTTATGAGGAGTGCAGCGCGAGCTTGTTACAAGTAATTCGAGAATATCACGAGTGTAGGCGAGTTCACCTCGAATTACAACGAATCGGGGGAAATTTTTTAACATGTTCAAAATTTTGGAACCGCTCGCGACTTCGAGGAGAGTCTTGGAATGTTGTAAAGAGTTACGCTAAGCCATACCGAATTTTTCGCGAGTTTTTGCGAGTGCCTCTTTGATGCAACTCACCACAACTCGCCATAACTCGCTAATACAACTCGGCTAAGTGGGAGCCCTGCTTTACGTATAATGATGTAACGATTTTAATGGGTTCTAGCGACTTAATAACTCTTAGGGATTATGAATGAATAATGTAAAGCGTGTTCACACAACATAACTCTATTTTATTTTAGCTACGAGGAAGCAAGGTTGCACTGACAATAAAATACATGATAAAAAGTATTCCCTTTTCGTTATTTTATTGGGTACTGATGTTGCAGACAAAACACTTGCCAAGTGTAGTCATGAAAGGAAATAAAGGATTCGATCAGAATCGCATGAATGAGAATTGATAATATTGCACGGAGATACATTGAATGGTCATGGATGAGAATGAACATGAATAAATGCAGTGAATAAATATAGCTTACGGCAATGGTAGAAATGAAGTCGAATGTCCAATGAAGATGATGACGGATGAAACGAAGGAAGGGGCTCACGCGATGATGGTGCGGAGGCTTGATGACGGAGATGTATGCTTCGTTGTCGTGGCTGAAGAGTCGTGAAGAATCTCAACGCTGACGCTCGTGATGATGATGAAGAAGCTCTCAGGCGAGAAGAGAAGAAATGGGGCGCTCGACGACGAAACAGCGAGTCGTTCGATATCGGAGGCCAAGGTAGAAATGTAGACATCAAAGCCGGTAGTTGCTGAGCAGTGAGTCGCTCGATTGATGCGCCGTACTTTGATGATGAAATTCATCAGGGTTGCAGTGACTTGAACTCGTCGATGAACTTGCAGACGAACTACGGTGAGTCGAGCTCGTGTGGGAAAAGAGCTACCAGAACGAAAACATGATTAAAAACGTTCTACTGGAAGACTGCCAGCCCGTTGGAGACGGCAGAGAAAAAAGTTGACGTGCCATAAAAGAAGTGAAAGACACAGGAGAATCTCGTGTGTAGAGAGCAAAATACTGAGAAGTCTTGACTCGACTGAAGATGTAAGCATGATTTGTTGACTCGACCGAGATGTAAGAGGGAGTAAGAAAACCTCATGGTGTTGAAAATACGCGGGTGAACGATGCACGGAACCACGGTGCGTGATTGAAGGAATAAACTGACATGGTCCGAATAATGAATATAAATACGTAGCGTGATGGAAAATTACTGAGGATATGAATGTACAGTAAAGTAGTGCGAAAGTATGAGTCGCTACAAACTGTTTAGGCATTCTGTTCAGAAGCTTGTTATTTACATTTCTTATTTTCTATCACAAGACGAGAATGTGTTACTGGGGCTCCTTCTCTTTTTTTTCGTTTACAGACATTGTGGCATACCATCCAATAAGATTGGTCGACAATAACACAAACGAGATCAACAACCGGTCAGGACTTGTAGAGATCTACCATGACGGCCAATGGGGAAACATTTGCAAGAATTCCCGTTATGCTAAAGTACGAACACGTGACACGCACGGTGTCGTCATTTCATATTTCTAGGTGAAGCACATGACCGTTAGCGGAGACGATAATGACGCCCTATTTTGCAGATTTCCAAAGACATTTCACACCAAATATGACCCCTTTGACTTGAACATGAGTATAAAGTAGGTTTTGAATATAAAACCAACTTTTCCCAAAAAATTTACAAAAACTACACTACGATTATTTTCGCTAAAGATTTTAAATACGCTTTCACATGTTTGAAACATCGTGAAGATATGACTTTTTCCCATAAAAAACTTGCTCTTTCAAAACAAATACCACTTTTTCGGCTAACAAAATAGCATTGGCCTAAAGGTTCTTTCTCAACATTCCCGATGGTGTCTAACGATCATGCGTACACAAAGACAATATGAATTGACACCATCGCCACCACGATGACAAGAAAGTTTTTTTTTTTATATAGTCTTTTACTAAGGAGATTTACACGTGCAGCGACAAAGCGACTTGTTAGAACTCACCAAGGCACCAAGTTTTAAGACGAGAAGGCGAGAAGCAAGTTTTTAAAACTCGCCGTGTTGCTTAGTTTAAAACGAGAAGGCGAATTATAATAACTCGCCAAGCCGTCTTATTCTTTTAACGAGTGAGCGAGTTGTTCAAACGCGCCTTGTTTAAAGATGGGAAGGCGAGAAGGCGCTTTGGCGAGTTTTAACAAGTCGCCACCTTGCTGCAAGTTCAAGATTCCGTACTTTACTCTGTCCGTATCAAAATCACAAAAATTAATACATTCTTGTTTGGCTGTGTGCATTCTTACTATATTTATCATTTATTGATATGTTACGATTAACGTCCTGGTTTTTATTTGTCTTATTTTATATTACACCTTTATTTTACACTTGATTAATTATTTGTTAACAGTGTTATTCTGTTTTGATTCAATAAAACATTTTAAAATATCACAACATACATCACGCAACAATAAACAAATCACCATACTGAGGGCGTGGGTATGAACTATTGAAAAGCAAAAACATTCTCAACATGCTAACTTATGCGATCGAGTCGTAGCGAATAAGATTAAAGCTTTTCGTTTGGTTTGGTTTGGTTTCATTTTCCGTTCTAAAGAAAAACATATAAACATGCATATGAACATTTAAAACAAATATATTATTATTTAAAGAGAATACGGCTGGATTGCTCATTTCAGAGTTGTTAATCTGTCTTCTTCATCAAGTGCATACTTTACGTACCAAGCTTCGTCACACTATATAGGGAACACAATGGGAAGAAATAAACTTTGCTAATGGAGACTGGAATCTTACAGGTCCATGTACTTCCCAATCAATGTCACGATATTACGTGGAGGTTTCTCAGCAAATACTTGAAACCTCTGAAACATCACGCCGAAAGATCTTCTTCCCTGAAACACACTACAACACAGGCCACTAGCAAGTGTAAGATGTGACCATGAAAATGTCACCGCGAAACAAAAGGTGATTTTGGTTTCCCTTCAAAATCACAACTTTCCACATTTTTATGGGCCTTTATATAGTTGTCTTTTTGTACCTGACCGCCCCCCCCCCCCCACATCTGTTTATACCTTTTCTTCTTTTTGACAACCCTAGTAATTTCCTAATTCTCTTTGTGTGCGTGTGCAGCTTGTTTGTTCCGAACTTGGTTATAAGGACACGTGGGATGCTACTAGTTTTGATACACAGAAGGTTGGTGATGGGACCCTGACCTGGTTCAGCACAGTCGACGATGGTTATGGGTTAACCAATTGTGACTCCGTATTTGGATGTGAACACACAGCGTGGGGGGATCCCCAAAGTGATTGTAATCTCATGGCAATTCGTTGTGCACCCGCCCCCGGGAGAGGTAAGAAAAACCTGTGCCCAACAATATTTAAGCCATACTGTACGAAGCACTACCGCATAACACATCTAGCGCCATCTCAGGTCAGCTGTAGCGCAGTACAGTCCCATAACTTCACTATGAATATGACGGACAAAGAAAGAGGACAAAATATACAGTTACTTGGGAAGACAAAGGAACATCCCTTCACTGCTATTATGTAAAAATGTGTAGAACAGGGGTCACATGCATATTTACCTGTTCTACACATTTTTGCATAATAGCAGTGAAAGGATGTTCCTTTGTCTACCTGAGGAACTGTATATTTTGTCCTCTTTCTTTGTCCGTCATGTTCATAGTGCTTGCTGCTCTCCTAGCTGCGTTATTGGTTCTCGCATCGAGACCTCTGTCTGCGAAGTTGGAATGAGATTTTGGGCTATGCACTGTTGCCTGACAAGTTCATCATGAGATGGCGCTGTGCAATAAAGAGTTTGCTACGAGCAAAAGGTTCATCAGTCCTGTATCGATTTAAAAAAAGACATTTATGATGGATGGGTTATCATTCACATGATTATTAGATATATCGAGATTGCAAGAAACGTCAATATGCGTTTCAATGTTAAAATACTGCGTAAACAATATTGTTACTACCATGCGAACCTTGTCTCCTCTTATGATTAAAGGTATTACAAAGTTTTGGTATGGGGTCATGAATTTGGTTCAAATGAACATATTGGAAGCATATGCGATCCTACAATATTCTGTGATCGTTGTCCCGGTTGAAAACGAGTCTAAAGTTATGAAATTATAAATAATAAACTCTTTGTGTTGTGTAGCTCCCTCTCAAGGTCAAGATATTAATTAAGCTATGAAACGATGTTTCTTGACTAAAATCGACCGATTAGCTATTCCCGTTTGTGAATTATATATCACAACTACTTATTCTGAGATTGTTGTGGTCGCAACTACTATTGTAAGGCCGTAGGCGCTATTTTAAATTTATCAGAATTTACCGGGAGCACCGGTAAATTTTTATATTCAATTTTTCTCGAAAGCAGAAGTGTTTTAGGGGCTTAATTTGCTAATGTTTTTAATACATCCACAGGGGCATCCAAATATATCAAAATTGCAAAGAATCACTATCCATCCAATTTTCGAAATTTCCCAAAACTTTGTATTACCTTTAATGTACGTTTTATTTATCTATCTTTCCAAATTTTATTCAGCTTCATCTTTGGAGGGTTTGGCATTATCTCTCATCATCATGGTGGTCGTCGTTACGGTCGATTTCGGATTCGTCCGTGTCTAAAGGCTACAAGAAAATCTTTGATCTATTAAATGAGCGTCATTCCGGTGGCTGCATGTTGATTTCCCGAAGTTTCATGATCCCGAAGGTCCGCAATTCCGGAAGTACATTACTGCCAAGCTTCACGATGCCGACAATTAAGTAGAGTTTTTAATTCCGAAAATGAAATGTGGTTAGTAATTCAGAATAAAATATCTATTTAAAAAAAGGTTCTTAATTCCACAAATGAGAAAGGGTTCATAATTTCTAAATTGAAATAGAATCCGGTCGTATTGTTCTCGGAATAACGAGCCTTCGGAACAGTGATTTTAACTTTTAATTAATAATAGGCACTACTACTCCATTTTCTAAATTACGTAACTTTGGAATAATGAACCAAATTTTATGTTCGTATTAATGTATAATACTTGATATCGGGAATTGCGAACCATTCGAATAATGAAACTTCGAAGTAATGTATGAAATGTTCAAAATTATGACCTCGTTTACTCAGAATTATGAACTTTTGGAAAAATTAACCTTCGGAAAAAACGAGTAACCTCAGATCGGTATATGAATTTATTTAAATACACCTTCGGAATACTAATATATGAAAACGACGAATCAGTTTATAAATCAATCACATTTTTAAATACCGATGAAGTGTAGGATAAAGCCTCTAAATGAAGAAATCACGAATAAATCCGGCTTACTTCGTTCCATCGGGTCTTCGCGTCAGGTCGGGTTGTCGGGTATCTTTCGTGAAATTTTGTTCTCATAATCACGAAAGATAGGGTGCGTCACGTTGTTGGGTTACACGCATTTGTGTAAAAAAGTTCCCCCATGCTCACGAAAGGTACGGTTAATTAAATGCATTTAATACCATTCTGTTTAAGTGTTTCTTAAAATTAACTTAAATAGAATGTTGACTTTGGGTGATCGGTGAAAAATAATTTGTGAGCGTTTTCATTGTTATTACGCAAGTGTGGAAGTACATCAGAGAAAAAATGTTTCTTGAAAAGCATGGCTCTTCAAATGCTTTCATATTCTAAATGTGACATGTAACAACTTAAAAATGAGGCCCACATTTTCATGCCAAATGTATGTGTAGTCCCATATTAATCTTTCTGTGTACAGTGCTTGTTACTGTTACCACATTCCCTATCATATTGATGATTCCAGAACCTTGCAGTACACTCCAATACTAAACGTTACATGATCAACTCTTTATGATTGATTTCACACTGTTTCTTTCACAATGCAATCGCAAGACCAGAACTCAACTTTAACTTTAATGCTAATCTCTTTACATGTACATTCGTAGAAAAATGGCCTTTCAGACAATGACAATGTGCCATTCGGTAGCCTATTTACTACCGCTTGTAATTTTGTGACGAAACTATAATCATTCCTAATATGTTATTGAATGTCAACGCGTTTTGTTGTCATTGTGTGTATTCTGATGCTATTACATGTACATTACAATTGAATAGATATGAGAGGATAGGCAAAACATATATTCTCAAACATTTCAAGGATACGGCATATCATGGTATTCTTAAATTTAAAAAGATGTTTTTATATCTTTAAAAATTCTGAGGGGGGAATGTTGTTGAAGTTGAATGCCTCTGATCTATCCAAATTGGTTGAAAAAAAATACAAATATTTCTTTGGTGAAGTAAGTTTCATGATTTGTAGGCCTATGATTTTATGAGTGTCTGTTTCACTTCGTCTTCTGGTAGTGCAAAATGAAGTTGGTTTTGATACATATATGCCTTGTAAAATTGAATGCAGAAATGGAATAAATGAATTTGAATTTAATCACCGTGCTGACCTTCAGCGAGATCTGGAAATTAATACGACCAAACGTTTTATTCATCTAAAATTTATCTAGAAATCATGTTCGTTGTCAGTGTATCGAGGTCAAATGGAATTAGAAAGGCATGATGAGGGATATTAGAAAGCAAAAGGGACGTAGACAGCATAGCTTTTAACCATTCTTATTTTGATGGAATGATTTCTATTTTGGGGCCTTCGTACATTCCTAGGCCTATGATTTAATGAGTGTCTGTTGCACTTCGTCTTCTATGTTCTGTAATATTCTGTGTGAAAAATACACAAAATGGACTGTATTCCTAATTTTGCCTTGAGAGATTCCTAATTCCTGCTTTAAACAGTTGTTAGGTATGAGATAGTGAGATACAAAGAAAGAGATGGAGATAGAGAGAAAACAGTTCATTCCATTTCAATTTAAATATATTTGTCATTCATAAAAAATCAAAGGGACAGTTGGGATAAAAAAAAAAAATTCTTTGCCTGACTGTTTCCGTAAACTTCAAAAAATGTGAAACGTAGAATCACAATTGAAAATAACACATTACGGAAATATATTTAAGACGTAAATATGCATAATTTACCATAGTCACAAATGTGAATTACAAAGGAAATAGAAAATAGAAAACACAGCACAGTCTGAGAAGACACAGTCCAGTGTAATACGTGGTTAGAAAACAGAGAGACAAGAATGTATGTTACAGAAGAGGAGATTGGACACAAACCGAACAACGTGATAGTCATAGGAGAATGTTGAAGAGAGTAAGAATAGATCATTTTCGTAATGTAATCAAATTTAATGCACAAATCTTGGTTAATTGCCTCGTTACAAATTATTTCATTCATAATGTATTTCAATAGTCCGAATGCAGATGCATACATTAATTGTTGCTAGGTAGGACATTCATTATTGCTTGACCTACGTAACAACACTCAACGGATGTAATTCGCATTAGGAATAGGGAAATATACATGTACAATTATTCGTAAAATTTGTAACGAGGCACTAAACAAAGAAGTGTTCATTAAATGTGATTACATGACGAAACTGATCTATTAAAACGGGTGAAAGTAAGAAGGAATAGTAGAGGGAAAGAAAGAAGTATAGGGAGAGGAGGCATATTGACAAGCGGAGAGAAACAAAAGAGATTAGGATATGTGAGATCAGTATGGAAAGAAAGAGAGAAGAAGGAAAATAAAGGAGAGATGAGATGACTAAAAGTGACAATGCATAATACAGCAAAAAGATAAAATAACAAGAAGATCCAGGATTGTTCAAAACATTTTGGCAAGTACCAGAATGAACCACTTCAATATCTGGATTGGAAAAGCGGTGGAAAGACGACCCGGACCCTTACAACTAAAGGAAACCATGGATAGGAACAACGGTCTAAGACTAAAGAATCCTAGATTAAGTAGGTTACAAGTGAGCTCAGGAAAGAATGGTGTAGATCTGACTGGCTAGACGTTATAAATGTATAAACGGGGAGAAATACCTTTGAAAATATAGGGCCTACATAGTGATGAAAGGCAAAAACTATCGATATAATAGTTTCTTTCCTTTTTTTTCGTTTTTAATTAAATATGAGAAACCTCGCTGCAAACAAATTCCAAATTAGTGGAGTTTTCTAACTTATATTCTTGCATGACTTTAACCTTCATTGTATAGCCGTCAATTTAATTTTGCTATCAAAAGTTAAAGTGAGAAAAATAAGTAAGGGGAGAGTAGGGGCGTTGTTAAAAGGTGTGACCCCCAGCCGTTTTGTAAATTTTCAAGCGTTTTCCGGAATCTGCATCATAATTTTAGGTCTCCTGCCTTTTCACATTGAGTTTTTCCATGGACATATTACGCTTAAATTCATTTGCATCTCAAAGCTTATCGTAATCTATTCATGCAGATGTTAAGCACTTTATTGTTGCATTCAATGAACAAGAATTATGTAACTACCCCCCCCCCCCTCCTCCTTCACATATAAACACACACACACACACACATATGCCCACACAGCCATGCCTAGTGACAAAGGCAACGGATTCCATTTTGCCTTACCTTGGGGATTGGGAAATACATTGGATATCAAACATTTTTCTTTTCAAATTTGAATTCGTTAATTGGCAGTGTTTTATTCACCCTATTTGTTGTGTTCAAAATGAGGGCTTCAATTCTTAATCATAAAGAGAAAAACACAAAAAAAATGATCTGCAATTTTGCAAATACTTTCATAAACTCATCTGGCTGCTAAATTGACATTTTGGGATAAGTTTGAAAAAGGGGCTTTGAAAAAGAAAATATATACTTCAAAATGTGTTGATAGGTTATTATCATTATTATTATTAATAACACAATTATCACTTTTTGAGTAGTAGTAGTGGTAGAAGTAGTAATAAAAGCAGTAGTAGTATTATCATCATACACCTGTACAATTTCTACATGTTGTCCATCTTAAATGATTTCATTCACTCCCCGAAGCGCATGCTCGCTCTGCTCACCCGCAATATGAGGTCCTTGATCACGATTAAGGTCCTTTTTCTTTGCGACAATTGTCATCATTATTTCTATGACATAACAAAATGTATTAAACAAAATCTGACGATGGGTTGATGAAAGGTGTTTTTGCATGATGATTATTATACAAATAATGAATGGTTATGAGTTCAATAGTGCGAATATTTTCATGAGTTGAAAGATTAACATTACATCAACGAGGCGTCAGCTGAGTTGAATAGAATTATCGTTAATCTTTCAACAAATGAAAATATTTGTACTATTAAACGAATGAAAAACATTCATTATTTGTTTTATACAACATCAAAGAAGATCTAATAGAACGTTAATCAAGATATTATTCTTTACTCCTTTTATATATTAAAGATAAATTAAAGTTGGAGTCAAGCCTTCTCGATTACATTCAGATTGCCTTCGCGTCAGATACACGCAGGGATACGCGCACGGCAGAGAGGTACGCAGTCTGCATATAACCAAAAATGCACGCGCATACAACCAAAAATGCACGACCGTGTAATATAACATTTATTGAATATCATGTGACCAACAATCCTCCAATCAAATGACAAGGATCCACGTAGGTGTTGTATAAAACACTTTCACTAACCCTAAAGGCTATCATGTGCATATATGGACATGGTGGCTCAATGGTTAGAGCGTCCGCCTCATGAACGGGAGGTCGTGGGTTCGATCCCCGGCCGAGTCATACCAAAGACTTATAACAATGGAACCTTCTGCCTTCTAGCTAGGCGCTCAGCATATTAGATTGGAGAAGGGTAATAGTAACATGTTATGTTATGCAGGGCCCGCTGGGAGAGCAGTTTTATAACTGAAGTGGCTACCCTGGGTAAATAAAACGTTATTATTATTATTATATATAAAAACGATAACAAAGGGGATTCAAATCGAATGTAAACATTAAAATACCCTTTACAGACACATCCCCCTTTCAGCAACACTAACAATTTATCTATTTTCAGGTCGTTTTTGAAAGGCTCCACGCTAGCTTCTCTCTTCTTCCTTAAGCTGTTTAAATACGTATATTTTACTATCATCTTTTTGCCGTATTATGCATTGCCACTCTTAGTCATCTCATCTCTCCTTCATTTTCCTTCTTCTCTCTTTCTTTCCATACTGATCTCACATACCCTGATCTCTGATGATTCTCTTTGCTTGTACAATATGTCCGCTTGTCTCTCCTCTGCTCTCCCTATACTTCTTTCTCCCCTCTACTATTCCCACTTACTTTTACCCGTTTTAATAGATCAGTTTCGTAATGTAATCACATTTAATGCACTATGTACCTCGGTAAAAACTATATATCACTCTTCATGCTTTTTTATTCCATTCTTTCTCAATACACTAACGAAAAACATACAACTTTTCGGAGAATTCTTGGACAGGAGGAGACACCTCTGATGACATTTTAGATGTATAAAACTTTAATTCGTATTAAATTAGAGCTCTTGTTGAAGGCCTGCACATTGTTTAAAATTACATCCATTTATATCGTTATGCATCAGTCAGTTACAATACAATCATAAATGATATAGGTAAAAAAACCAACTTCATTTTGCACTACAAGAAAGACGAATTGCGAAAGACACTCAATCAATAAAATGATAGGCCTACAAAAAATTACTTCAACAATTGAATATTTGTCGTTATATTTTAACCAATTTACATATTTAAGAGGCATTAAACGTTTAACTCTTTTAAAGATATAAACACATTATAAACAAAATAAGTTTACAAAGTCATTCCGTATCGTTGAAATGTTTAAGAGTATATAGTGTATATTTAAAGGGATTATCTTTAAGTCAATCTCAAGGAGAAGTTTTGAGAAGAAAACAAATGGGATAATTTGCAGTTAATTTTACCGGATCTTGTATGAATACCCTGCAGCCCGACTTGATGCGAAGACTCGATGAAACCACGTAAGCTGGATTTATTCGTGATTTCTGGATTTAGGGGCTTTATTCTACACTTCATTGGTGTATCAAAATGTGATTGATTCGAAAACTGATCGTCGTTTCCGTATATTGGTTTTCCCGAAGGTGCATTTTAATTAAATCTCTACACCGATATGTGGTTACTTGTTTTTTCCCAAAGGTTGATTTTCCAAAGGTTTATAATTCTTAGACACAATGTTCCCAATACCACTGGGCTCATAACTTAAGACAATTAAATAGGAATCATAATTTGAACATTTCATACATTTTGTCTGAAGTTTCATTATTCGAAAGGTTTGCAATTCCCGATACGAAGTAGTATATATCAATACAAACATAAAATTGGGTTCATTATTCCAAAGATACGTAATTTAAGGAATGGAGTAGTAGGGCCTATTCATAATTGAATTAAATTCCGGAAAAAATACAACCGGGTTCTATTTTAATTTCGGAATTATGAAACCTTACTCATTTATGAAATTATGATTTTTTTTTTTTAAATAAATTTCATACTTGTATTCGGAATTAAAAACCCTACTTAATTTTCGGAATCATTAACCTTCGCAGTAACGTACTACCGGAATTATGGACATTTGGAATCAGGAACCTTCGGGCAAACGACATGTAGCCACCGGAATGACGCTGATTTTGATCAAAGATTTTCCTGTAGTCTTTAGACATCAACGAATCCGACATCGACTGTAACAACGACCAACACGATGATGAGGGATAATGCTAAACCGTCCAAAGATGAAGCTGATTAACATTTGGAGAACAAAAAAGAAAATTTAAATTAATCATAACAAGAGACAAGGTTGGATAGTTTGCGGAGTAGTAATACTAATTTGTACGAAGTATTCAAACATCGACGTTTTTTGCAAGCTCGATATTTCTTATAACCATGTGACAGATGACCGATCCATCTCAAAAGTCTATTTAAAACGATACTGGACTTAAAAAGTTTTTTGCCCTCGCAAAATATATATTGCACAGCGCCATCTCGTGATAAACTTGCCAACAGTGCGTAGCCCAAAATCTCATTCCCACATCCCTGTCAGAGGACTCGACGCGAGAAACAACAGCGCAGCTAATCTAGCCATCCTAGCGCTGCATTTGATTGGCTCGAAAGAAAGCTATATGTCATGCGCTAGTCATAACTATTCATAATACGCACGCGCACAGAATCTAATGCGATAATTTATCAAATAAGGAGATTTCGAATATAAAAATTACAAGTGCAAAGCTATGCTTACTTAAAATAAATGACACCGCGAGAAAAATCGGGAGGCTAACTATAAACGAATGACTATACACCCAGGTCTAAATTTGTCAATATTCATTGTAACATATATTGCATTATCTGGCCAATTTGATTATGAATTCTACCACACCGTATCAACGCAAATTTTCATATTCATATTCTTATATTCAAATATTCATATTCTTATGTTCTTATATTCATATTCTTATATTCAAATATTCATATTCTTATTTTCAAATAATCATATTCTTATATTCATATTCAAATATTCATATTCAAATAATTATATTCAAATACAGGGCTAGGATGGCTAGGTTAGGCTTAGAAAAATACTGCTACAGCTGACCTGAGCCCGGGGGGGGGGGGGTACTCACATATTAAGACATAGGCCTACGGGGATGTGCCGCTTTTCCTTTTCACCCCCCCCCCCCCCCCCAAAAAAAAAAAAACAAAACAAAAACAAAACAAAACAAAACAAAACAAACAAAACAAAACAAAACAAACAAACAAAACAAAACAAAACAACAAAAAAACTTAAGAATAGGTCCGTTTGTTTAAGTTTCAAAAATGTTCGTGTCTTTTCATGGCAAACATAAAAAAATTGAGCTTTACCTCGAGAAAAAAAAATCCCCAAATTACCCTTAAAAATGGGTAGTGATTTCGAGACTTCAGCAGCACACCCCGTCCGAACCAAACCTGAGCTAGTTTTTCGGTAGTGTTTTCAGAACAGTATGGCGATATTTGGGCATCTTCTTCTTACCTCTCCCGCCGGTGTCCACAATGGGGTCCGTAACGGGGTCAACAACGGGGTCAACAACGGGCCCCTGGTTTACACAACGAACTGCCATAGGATTACAATCAATTAGGGGATCTCCCCACGCTGAGTGTTGACAGCCAAATACGGTGTTACACGTAGTATACAAGATTTGTGTGCTGAACCAGGTCATTGTCCCTTCGCCAACCGTCTGTGTATCAAGACTAGTAGCATCCGTCGTGTCCGTATAACCAAGGTCGGAACATACAAGCTGCACACGCACACAAAGAAAATTAGGAAATTACTAGAGTTGTTAAAGAGAAGAAAAAGGTAGAAACCGAGGAGGGTAGGGGGAGCAAGAACAAGTCAATAAACATCTAAAAGGCCAAAACAATGTCAAAAGTCATTCATTTTTGTGAATTTGATACGGAGTGAGGAAAGTATGGAATCTTAAATTTGCAGCAAGATGGCGACTAGTTAAAACTCGCCAATGCACCTTCCCGCCTTCCCATCTTTAAACAAGGCACCTCGACGCGTTTGCACAACTCGCCCCCTCGTTCAAAAAATAAGACGGCTCGTTGAGTTGTTAAAAGTTGTCTTGAACAAATTAAAGCAACTCCGCGAGTCTTTACGATTTGCTTCTTGCCTGTCTGAAACATGGTGCGTTGGTAAGTTTAACAAGACGCCTTCTCGCTGCAGTTTAAAATATCCGTAGTAAATTACGGGTAAAGTACTACAGCAAGCAAGAAAAGGACAACCCATATGTTGTATAGGAACGCTTTCATGTCATCGTGGTGTCGATGGTGTCACTTCATATTGTCTTTGATTACGCTTTATCGTTAGACATTTCCAAAAACACATAGGTTTAAAGACTGATGCTATTTTGTTTTGAAAGAGCAAGAATTGGATTGAAAAAAATCATATCTTTACGTTGCAAATATGTGAAAGCGTATTTAAAAACTTTTGTGAAAATACTAGTAGGGTGGTTTTGTAAATATGTGTGGAAAATTAGTTAATTATTTAAAACCTAATTTTTACTCGTATTCAAGTCAAAGGTGTCATAATCGTTTGGCGTAAAATGTTCTTGGAAATCTTCAAAATAAGTTGTCATTTTCGTTTCCACTATCGATCATGTGCTACGCCTCTGAATATGAAGTGCGTCTACGCGCTTGTAATAGGGACTTTTAGATTTGCACGTCGACAGCTTTGACTGCAACGTGTGACGTCACTTCAAGGCACTGCGCATGCGTCACGTCGTCTCAGTCGGTGATCGAGAATGCGTCAACCTTGATTTTCCTAAATCTAGTACGGTACTAGTATATATGCCGTGTGCGCAAAAAATATACAGTTCCTCAGGTAGACAAAGGAACATCCCTTTCCTGCTATTATGTAAAAATGTGTAGAACAGGTGTCACATGCACATTCACACGTTCTACACATTTTTACATAATAGCAGTCAAGGGGTGTTCCTTTGTCTACCAAAGCAATTGTTGAGGGTAGAATGAGGAACCGTATATTTTGTCCTCTTTCTTTGTCCGTCATTTTAAAGTGTTACTTCCTGCATGCATGTATATCGTCAAGTGAAATCTGAAGGATTTCTAATTGTAGTCAACGTGGGCAGTTGAATACGTTGACACGCAGGATCAGTCGGCGTTCGTCGAGTTCTCGTCCACTCAATACAAAAGTCCCTAATGTGTACGATGTACGTACTTCAGAATAACCTGCATCCGCGCAAATGTTTCCCCATTGGCCGTCATGGTAGATCTCTACACGTCCTGACTGGTTGTTGATCTCGTTTGTGTTAATGTCGACCAATCTTATCGGATGGTATGCCACAATGTCTGTAAACGCAAAAGAAAAGAGAAAGAAGCCCTATTATTCGTCTTGTGATAGAAAATAACAAATTTAAATAACAAGTTTCTGAACAGTAAACAGTAATTTCACTAGAACCCATTCAAATCATTTCATCATCATTATGCGTAAGACATACCACTTAGATATTATATGATGATTATTTTTTCTAAACAGAAATTAAAACGAAACTCCCTGCCGTTTTACAACTTTCCCTAGATAAAGAATTTTGGGGGCTTCTGGTGACTGACTGGTTGATTTTTGTACCCCGAGAAAAGTAAGTTATATTTTTACAAGCTACCCCGTACCCAAAAGTGGAGGGATGTGTATGTACCCCCCCCCCCTTCCCGGATTCGAAGAAGTGCCCTTGGCAGTGAGATAAAACAATGAAAAAACACAGACAGACATCAGACGTACCAAATGGTTTGCACAAAATGCCTGTCTCGTAATTAGAACGACGTCCAGTCGTATCAGTCAGGACACTACACTGGAAGCTGCTGTCTAAGGGTTGAAGCTGACACAGGTACCCTGTATCCTGTGAACCTTCTTGGAAAGGCATCTGCGCTACTCCATTGTAATAATTCAACACTTCCTCATACCCCATGGCTTTACAAAGCCTGTCGTAGATAGGATTGTACACAAATGGGGTAGGAATCACCAAAAATCTGACCCATTCTCCGTTCTTGTAGGTTTCCACGCGTCCTTGCTCTGAAAACTCACTTCCAGTCATCCGCAAGTCCAAATCTTGTTTTAAAAAATTGCATTAAGTGGGTTATTTTGTATTATTAGATATATATAACAATAATCACATCAACAACATTAATAATAAATATCATAATAATAATAATAATAATGAAAGTAACTATCATTACAACAGTATGGGTAATAATATTATGGGAGGAGTCTTGTATAGCGCTCATGATTTGAATATTACCATCGGCTTTTTTTTAGCCATTACAACTAAAAGAATTCATTTCTGCTGGATATGAATTTAACTCACTTGGTTGGAGAGTGTCAAAGTGCTGCTCAGTGATTTGAAGCTCGTGGTTCATAGACCAGAGACTTATCCGGTGGACTACAGCGCCTCTACGCATACCATGATTATAATGATAAAAGTTCATTCTTTTATAGCGCATTTAAGGACCGCAGGCCCGGACAATGTGATAGCTGTACAGATACATATGGTGTTGCATACCCGCGGTTTACAGATATCGATTGCTGTATAGCTGTTAGAAATAAACAATAATAAATGTCACTCTGTGGCGCTTGGAATTTGCGTTTGCGTTGCGTTGGGAATATTTTTGGTTCGATCTCGTACAGGACTATTTGTTGGTTGTATGGTCTGCTTCATGTAAACCGGACACCCATAAATAGTTCAGTCATTATTATCGAGATTTAATTTAATTTATTTCTAATCTTTTGTCAGGGAAGCCAATTCACCAATAAGTAGTGGTCTTCCTTGGGGCTCTGAATAAACATGAACATATTTAAATCAAAAAGCATAACGTTTATACAGAACAGTTCAAAAAAATCCATAGTACAATTAGAAAGATATGACACAGCAAAAATAGACGTGGCAAAATTAATACTCGTTTGCAAAATAAACATATATCATTAACCTAGTTCAACGGTAACGTCAATAGGAAAAGATTTATTAAGTCGTAAATGTTACAGAACATGCACGTAGTGTATGTTTGGCTAATCCAATTACAAATTACAACTTTGTTTAAACAATCTTTTAAATGAATTTACAGAGCAGGCCGTTCTCATCGAATAAAACGTACAGTAATATATAATGGACCCTTGCTCATGGAGAACTATACCTCGTGGAATACGTGAATTGAAATTTGTTAACACTTTTTAACGTAAATACAAAAAATATTTGATGGACATATATTGGTATTATTTTTTACATGTAATTGTTATTAGTTTTACTTGTTATTATAGCTTAAATTAAATCATAAGACTTTTTATATTTGATTATTTGGTCAGCCGCGTATATGGACCACCTCTTTCCTGGCTGCTACCAACCTTAGCAATTTCCCTTGTATAATTCATATTTGCAGTTGCCTTGTATGATGGTCATGTACATCCAGGCGCGGATCCAGGGTGGGGGGGCGAGCGGGTCTTGGCCCACCCCCCCCCCCCCCGGCAAAAAAAGGAGATAGAGAGAAGGAAAAGAAGAAGAGGGAAAGAGGAGAGAAAGGGAGAAAAAAGAAAAGGAAGAAGAAAAGAAAAGAGGGAAGAAGGAGATCGGGGGCAAAAGGACTTGCCTCCCAGGCTGTTGCCTCCCCCCCCCCCCCCTTCCCCCAATCAAAAAAAAAAAAGAGAAGGAAGGAAAAGGAAAAGAGGAGAGCTAAAAGGGAACAAAAAAGAGGAAGAAAAAACGAAAAGGGATAAAAGAAGCGGAGATCGTGTGGAGCTGGGTGGGGACCAAAATTACCATGCCCCTCCCCCCCCCCCCCCCTCCCCCAGCAAACCTAAAAGAGAGATAAGGAAGTGAAGGGAAAGGGAAAGAGGAGAGAAAGGGAAGAAGAAAAACAAAGAGAATGAAGAAAGGTAAAGGATATCAGTTGCAATTTTCCCGCCAACAAGGTGTAGATCGGAGGGGGGGGGGGCTTTGGAGAAATAGAATTCAAACGTGGTTTATTTCTAATTCCATAACGGTGGTTTACAAATAATGCTGAAATGAGATAATTTTCCGAGATTTTTCCTCACTTTATGCGTTAATTTGTTGGAAAATGACAAATTCCTAAATTTACAGCCAGGCAAGAAAATGCTTCTTGAGATGCCTACATATCAGGGCACGCGGAACGGCGGGAATCGGGATCCTCGAGCCTCCCCCCCCCCCCCCCCCACACTTTTTTTTAAAAAGTATATTAAAGAGAAATAGAAAGAAAGAGAGCGAGAAAGAAAAAATAGTTAATTGACGGTCATTTAATGCCAAAAACCCCTGATTTCTGGGGGCTCTGCCCCCTGGACCCCACGCCAAATAGTGTCTTGTCAGTGTCACAAATAATAAGGTATCAAAAATGCTCATCTGACCGTAATTAAACGCCTAAAACCCCTGGGCTTCCGGGGGCTCTGCCCCCTGGACACAACTAAGAGCCCTAAGGCGGGCCCCTTGATACTCATCTGACCGTAATTGAGTGCCTAAAACCCTTGGGATTCCGGGGCTCCGCCCCCTGAACCCCAAGCCAATTAGTGACCTGCCACTGTAACAATTAGGTATCGAAATATTGCTTATCTGACTGTAATTAAAACCTTAAACCCCTGAGATTCCGGGGCGGACAAGGTATCAACATATGTTCATCTGACCGCAGGCGCGTAGCCAGGGGGGCGGTGGGGGTGGTCCCCCCCCCCCCCATAAATGCCGGCCAAAAAAGAGAGGAGTGAAAAGGAACAGGACGTAGGAAGAAAAGGGAATAGACAAAGAACATTTTTGAAATTCAGACAAGGATTCAGAGTCGAGAACGGTACAACGAATCGTCTTCTTTCTCTAATGAATTAATTAAACGTCAAAGCTTCCGAGCTTCGCGCGGGGGACGGGAGGGGAAACTGAATTCAGACGAGGATAATTTTCGAGAACGGTGCAACGAATCTTCTTCTGTCTCTAATAATTAAATATAACGTCTAAGCTTCCGCTTTTCGCGCGGGAGGGGGAAACTGAATCTAGACAAGGATTAAGAATCGAGAACGGTACAACGAATCGTCTTCTTTCTCTAATATTTTAATGAAGCTTCGAAGCTTTGGGGGGAACTGAATCAAGACGAAGATTAAGAGTCGAGAACGGTACAACGAATCATCTTCTTTCTCTAATGATTCAATGAAACGCAAAAGCTTTCGCGCTTCTCGCGGGATGGGGGAAAACATAATTCAGGCGAGGATTATTTTTGGGAATGGTACAACGAATCGTCTTCTTTCTCTGATAATTTGTTGAAATGTCAAAGCTTCCGCGCTTTGCGGAGGAAGGAAGGGGGAAACTCGCCCCTCCCTGCACCTACCCACCCCTATTTACGTCACCACTTCTGGTCACCATTATGTACCAATATTTGGCTCGCAAAATTTCAAATTTGGGCCTCCCTCCTAAGAAATCCTGGATCCGCGCCTGTGTACATCATTATGATTGATTAAGCCTACCATAAGGCAGGTAAGAATGAGCGGGGGCGCACTGGGATATTGCTTTATGTAAACCCAACACCCATAAAAAAATTGTCCTGTCATTATCATCAAGATGATGAGACTGATATATTACCTTTATTTGGTGCGCATCTGACTTGAGCAACGTTTTCAGGAGCGCACGAGGTCGAGGTGTCTCCCTTTGTCAAAGTACAGTCTTCTAGTCTTTCCTCATCGCCATCACACACAATATCCCATTGGAAGATATCAGTATAATCCTCTGGTCCTAGATCGGTTACATTGGTTGCTGTACCACCTTCGTATCCCTGCATACGACATGCCGCAGTGGCTTCCTTGTCAGTCCATGTCTGATCGCATATCAAGGCACGTCGACCCTCTGCTTGGTAATACACCACGCCCTCATATGAACCTGCACCGCTTACAAAGTCAATCAATGAGTCGTCGTTTGCTAGACAGGACAGATGGAACGAGATTGAAACAAAAGATGATAACTTCAGGGCACTCTTACATAGAAATGTATATTTCAAACACAACTAAATATGTTTTTTTATGAAAATTTAAACGATAAGTACGAATAAGTGATTCTGATATTCTTACCTGAAATAGTTAGAAAGTTTCATAAAGACATTAGGTAGGTAATTGGCCTGAAAGAACACAGACCTACCCACAAATACACCTGCCTTAACATATAGGCTAGTTTAGATATGAGATGATAAACCTTTTTCTTTTTTCCCTCTTTTTCATGACGACATATTTAATTGTGTATCCTTCACCTTTTATAAGATATTTGTTTCCTGCATTTTCAAAAATTAAGTTACATGTCATTCATAGAGGTGTTGTGGACGAGTGGATAAGTCACTGGACTGTGGATCACAAGGTCCGTGGTTCAAGTCCCGCCGCAGCACTAATGTCCTTTGGCAAGACATTAATCTACATTTGCCACTCTCCACCCAGGTGTTAAATGGATACCCGGTAGGATGCGAAAACTAATGTGGTTAGATTAGCAAGAGTGCGCTTGTAAAAATGACGCCTGGCTGGAATGCTCCCCAGAGAGTGGAGAATGTGCATACATTGTGTGCGGGTAAGCCTGAATCCAATGACCGGGGTAATAATATACTTATCTGTAAAGCCTTTGAGAGGGCCTCCGGTCCTGAAAAGCGCTATATAAGAACGAGCTATTATTATTATTATCACACAGCGGATGTTTATTTTTCACGCGGTGATTCACCGCGTCATATCTGAGCGAGCCTTTGAAAACGTTACCACACCACGCTTACCAAAACATTCGACGCCAGCGTCTTGAGTGTGATCGCAGTCCGATCGCGATTCTGGGACCAACTCACTCCGACAATCGCTAAAACTGTCTTCATCTCCAGTGCAGTGTACGCCGTCGAATATCTGTAGGGTACCCCCTCCTCCGATGGTTAAGAACCTTCGCGCTCCTCGATTAAAACCAAGTTCACGACAGACCACGTTAGCTGCAGCCTGGTCCCACGTACTGTTACATATGGTACCTTTCCATCGTCTGTTGACGGTCACCTCTACTCGACCGTATTCAGGGTAACCAGGAATCGGGTTGACGATATTGAGTGCTGTAAACAGTGTTATTACATGACGAGTAAATAAACAGTTTCATTAACAATTCTGTAGATACAAATTTAGAAAAACCGAATACAGCCAGTTAGAAAATAGCATTAATTCACAGTGAGTAGAACGCCGATAATATTTTTATCGTAGAATAATGCTTTGGTTCAGTTATCGTTAAAATCCATTAAGGAAGTCTCCTGTTAAGATCATTCCAAATGGCGAACATCAAATAAATATATCCAGAGCATTAACTTTTAAAAAGTTTCATCGAAAAGTACAGCAGGTTGATGTTTGGAGATAATCCTCGACGTTTGCACACATGTACTGCCACGCAATGAACGATGATCGAGGGCAATATATTCACTGTGCGTTATTCGCTGTTTTGCGGTTATTTGATTGTACATGTATTTGGTTTCAGAAATAGTGTCACATTTATATTAACATTTAACTATAGCCTCGGTAAAAGATATAATCAACCGGTGGATCCCAGATAATTTCATGTAATGTTTCAGACCAAGTTTAATAACATATCATCTGAAAGATAAGAAAAATTGAATAACACCGAGCAAAGATCGAATCCCGATCTCTCCGATGAGAGCCTAGAGCCTTAATCAGTATACCACAGTGCCAGATCTTTCGTATATTAAAGGCAAAGTATGTCCTAACAATATTCAGTGGTTTTCCTGGAATTTTTGCACATGGGAAGTGGCCAAGAGCTATTGTAGAAATTTGTTTCTGTGTTTGAAAATCATGGGTGAACGATGTAAGTGAACTGTGAATAAAGTAGGTGACAGCTATGACTTAAAGCTTATCTGCCATAGTTTACAGGAGGGATTAGAGCGCCCTGCAAGGTCACTGGACAGGTGGTTATCTCATCAACTCAGCTCTCAGTTAACATAAGAAAAAGAGGATCATGGGGGACCAATGGTCACCGATTAGGCATTGTTTGTTATATAGAGGGCGCAAGTAGCTACAAGTAGTGCAGTGGGCTTTTAAAACTGTGTATGAAAATAGAGGGTCAAAATTGTGGGTAGAAACTATGTGTTGTGTGTGTAAAATTTCCAACTGAAAACTTTGAAGAAAGTGGTTTTGGTTGAATTGTTGATGAAAACTATGGCCCTTTTATATTAATGCTATTAGGGAACTTTAGATAAACATTGTGAAAACTGTAGATGTTAAATGGCGAAAACTTTGGTTGAAAGCTGTGGGTTTAAAAACGGCTTAAATCCTTATTAAGTGACGTGTGTGAGCTGTCGTAGAAGCAAAATGAGAGGAAAATATGGTTGACATCTCTGTATTGCTATTACAGAAGGTCTGCTAAATTTTGATCTATGCACGCTAAACTAACTTAACACTTTTTTCAGTTTGATAGACAGAGAGGGGCCGGGGAAGAGAGGGGGAGGTGTGAGGGGCACATACCAGTCACCTAGGGAGGTAGAGGAGAAGGACTTACCTTTTTGTCCATCTTGACACACAACAAATGGTCTAGCCTCCTGACTGCATTCTCCCTGATAGGCCCATTCTATCTGAGAACAATCGGTGAAGTATTCTTCTTCTCCTGTACAGCTGATTGTGTTCAAAATCGTACTCGGTGGAATCACTGGACCTCCTGTCGTGCTAGCTATATATACTGCATCTTGAAAACCACTGTTGATGCAGAATATACGAGCTGCGTTGATGTCCCAATTGTCCAAGCAGAAGGATCCCCAGGACCGTCCATAATATACAGAAGGAATACCCGCGAAATTGGAATCTACTGACACCCATCTAATGCCCACAGCTGCGAGGAGTGTATTGAAAGTAAGGAAGTAAACAAGACGGACATTGAACAATAATAAACATAACATTGGTTTAAATTTGAAAATGGGATCTAATAATGATATTCTGTGTGTACATTGTAATAAACAGTAAGTCATGCCTCCATAATAGTTTTATTAAAACAAAAGAAACAAATTCAAGATCATATTAAAGATATGCTCAGTACACGTAGCAGATATGTAAAAACTTGTAAAACGAAAAATGCACAAATGCAAAAGATACTACATAGTCGCTTACATGTACATTCAAAATGACAAATAAACAAACAATTACAAAAAATATTGATCCATATGACATCCGTTTCTTGTATCATGCTCATACACCATACGTAGGGTATAGAGTTTTCGTTGTACGTCGGTCTTGTAGACCTTTTGAATCTTTCTATCATGTATTTATTTAATCCGAATGATGTTGCTTGGTGTGACAAACATTATGGCTTGCCCTACCTAACAACACATTATATACCCAATTTGTACTCTGACTACTGAGTTATTATTCGTAACAGCTAGTGAATGATAAGTCATATCGAGTGACTTTACAAAGACGTATTCAATCATTTCGATTACTTTAATTGCGAAAATTCAAGCCCGTTGCTACAGTGATTTCCATGGTGAACATGATGCGCAGGCTTTGATGTTTAGAACCAGGAACCTTAGTGTTGTTTCAGAAAATCGGCATACAAGTTCGCAATAGACCAGTTCACGGTTAGCACATTACTGCAATGACCCCGAATATCCACACATCTTCAAAACATAAAGAGGTCCCCCTTTGTATATTTTGAAATAATCACTCCTACAGAGATGGAGGTGCTACATAAATAACCTTTGTTTCCCCTTTTCAAAGAATACTTCCACCTGTGTATCATGGAGTGCATAAATGAATAATGATTACATAAGTTTCATGAGCACGTATCCAGTATTTCGTCTCCATGTATATTGCACAATTTGTTCTGCAATCATGGGTGACGATCCCGGGGGATGGGGGGATATATCCCCCCCCCCCCCCAATATTTCAGGTGGGGGGATGGCCTGTACAATCATCCCCCCAATAATTCACCATAAAAAAAATCAAGAGAAAAATTAATGATGAGAACCCGATGAGAGTAGTTAATGGTTATTACTCGCAATATGACCATCAATATACACATTTTGGTATCTCATTTTCATAATACATACATTATATACGAAGTAAATGAGACAACCGTATATTATGAGACAAGAATAAATTGAATTCTCGCTCATACGGCTTCATCAGGAATTGATGAACTTATTCAATTTGTTCAATCAACAGCATCATAGAAATGCAGTGCGCCAAATAAAAAGCAACGAGCTAAAAGGTAAGCGCGAAGCGCAATGCACATCAGACAATACTGGACAGTGTAAACATAGATGAACTCTGTGACGAATTAGTAATGAGATCGGAGACAAGGAGAAAGCTTCCACGCTTTGCGCGGGAGCGGGGAAACAGAATTCAGACAAGGATTTAGAGTCGAGAACGGTACAACGAATCGTCCTCTTTCGCAAATAATTTAAAGAAACGTCAAAGCTTTCGCGCTTCGCGGATTAAGAGTCGAGAATGGTACATCGAATCGTCTTCTTTCTTTAATAATATAATGAAACGTCAGAGCTTCCGCGCTACGCGCGGAGGAAGGGGAACTTGATTTAAACAAGGATTTAGAGTCGAGAACGGTACAACGAATCGTCTTCTTCCTATAATAATTTAATGAAACGTCAAAGCTTCCGCGCTACGCGCGCGAGCGGGAAAACTGAATAAAGACAAGGATAAAGAGTCGAGAATGGTACAACAAATCGTTTTCTTTCTTTCCTTAATAATCTAATGAAACGTCAAAGCTTCCACGCTTCGCGGAGGAAGTGGAAACTCCCCCTCCCTGCACCCAACCACCGAGGGAGCGCGTTTCGCGTGCTCACTACCGCCCACCTAAAATAAAATCCTGGCTACGCCCTTGGAGAGAGGTGCAACCTACCACACGCTTACCTCTTGGCTGCATTGATCCATTGCCGAAAATATTTTGGCACCTATCATCCCCCCCCCCCAACCACGGATACAAATCGACACCCTTGTCTGCAATGACCTTTATCTGCTCATGCTCAGACTGCAACCGTAAACTGGCTTATTGAAACGTGTTTAAAATGTAATAGACGCATTTGATTGGGTTTTTGTAATGAACTTGACGCGCGAATATAAAGTTGGCACTTCGGTATATACTCACGGGGTTTGCATTGTACCCCAACATCCTGCGCATGCATACATCTATCAGGTGTCCAGTCATCATCCCTCTCACATTCATCTAATCTATGTTGTTGGAAACATCGAAGGCCTCCAAGCACTATCGGCAGGTCGTCTCCTCCAGAAGCAGGGAAGACATCATGGACGCTAAGAGGATCGAATCCCAGTCGGATACATGCCACTGTGTTGTCGGATTGGCTCCAGGTTTGGTTGCACACAGTTCCCCAGCCTTGGTTCTCATCCAGATATTCCAGTCTGCCTTTTCCAAATGATGTAACATCCCCCAGTCTTACAGAACCTACGTACATTGTTAAAAGGATAATACAATGTGTTAAGAAAAGTCTACAGCGGAACATCACTCAACAACTAAATTTTCTTAGATTTGTCTACTTTGGGGATAATTGTGCAACCCAGGGACCCACCAGACGATCATGATTTTGGACGCCTGTATTTTTCACGACAAACAATTTTATTATCATCTTTGTTGGTGTTGTTCTTATTATCATTTTATCATCATTATTATTAGGACTTAGTATCAGGTATTAGGCGTCACCTGTTCCTGGGAGGGGGAAAGCGAACTGAATGAAAGGACCTCCGATGTATTAAACTGCATTAATTCGAAATGTGCTAGGGGGACCACTACACAGGCCTTGGGTATCCATCTTGCTCTTATACGAAAAGCAGTAGGGTCTTGATGTACAAAAGTGATGACTCTCCCCTACTCTGGGCCTCCATTTAACGTCCTATCCGAGGGACGCGGAGTGTCTTCCATTATAACATAACCTGCGTCTAGCGAACAGAATGAAAAGCTCACTTTTGTTAATGGCTTGAATCCCAGGAGCTAGTGTTACTGTTTGACAGCAAGGACAACCCCACATTCTACCCAGGGAGCTACAAATTATGGACTTAATATTGGCCCGAACTGTCACTGGTTTTATCAAACATCAGACACACCTGCTCAGGAACTGCCCTTCCAAAGTTCCCAAGGTCTGGCCACTGTCCGATCATCATCTCAAGTGACATCAAGCTTCAACTTTCCAACCTACCAAGGAAAAGACGGAATTTCAGAAAAGCTGACTTGTCCAATGTCAAGGAACTCACACACAAGCTATTCCATCTCGTCCTTCAGACCCCTCCATCAGCAATGTGAATGACTCCTAATCTGCTTTCTGCTCCATGTTACATCTGGCGGCAAAATTCTGCATCCCGAGGGGCAGAAGACACCCGTATAATTCATGCTGGGACGCAGAATGCGACCATGCATCTGTATGAATCTACACTAAGTCCAACATCATTAAACAAAGAGAAGCTGTAGGGAACGACCTGCTGATATTACTAGGAGAAAAGAGGAAGACTATCCATTTTACCCAATCTAGAAGTGAGGCCTGGACTACCATCAAAATAATAATAATTATTTCTTATATGGCGCTTTTCAGGAGGGCCCTATCAAAGCGCTTTGCAGATATATATATTATTACCCCGGTCATCGGATTCAGGCTTACCCGCACACAATGTATGCACATTCTCCACTCCCTGGGGAGCATTCCAGCCAGGCGTCATTTTTACAAGCGCACACTTGCTAATCTAAGCACATTAGCTTTCGCATCCTACCGGGTACCCATTTAACACCTGGGTGGAGAGTGGCAAATGTAGATCAATGTCCTGCCAAAGGATATTAGTGCCGCGGTGGGACTTGAACCGCAGACCTTGTGATCCACAGTCCTGTGACATATCCACTCGTCCACGACACCTCTACAATCCACACCAAGTCCAAGACCATTGAACAAAGCTCACTGGTCGAAGCAGTGCTCCAAAACACTGTCGTGTTACTGCAAACTCCATCGCTTCAGTTTTGGTTAAAAATGGAAAGTGGCAAGATAAAACCACTGAGGCCAAAACCCACTCTCGCTCAGTGAATTTTGAGATAAAGAAACTGATGACTACATCCACTATTCCATCAAACAGGAAAACCGCTAAAGTTTTTGCCATTCTGAAGCCCAAGAAGCCTGCAAACGAACCCCAAAGCCATCGTCCAATCAGTCTGCTATCTCACATCTACAAGATACTTAAAAGGCACTTGCCAGAATCGTCGACACTATCGAAGAGAAGTTACTTACTACCCAGGCAGGTTTTAGGAAATTAAATCAACCACCAAGTCCAGCTCGCCAACTACATAGAGATGGCCTTTCAGAAGAAGCAGAAGTTTGGTGCAGTTCTTTTCGACCTTACTGCGGCATTTGACACAGTATTGCACCGTGGCTTAACCTTCATCATCCTGCAGACCATTCCATATGTAAGGATTGCCAAATTTACCATGCTGTTTGTACAAGAACAGGTAATTTGTTCTTGTAACACCAATTGGGGAATACAGCAGAAAGAGTAGACTCGATCCGCAAATTTGTGCCGCAATGCTCTGTTCTCGCTCCGATACTATCATACATCTATGTCTGTGATATGCCCAAGGGGGATGCATGCAGTATTCCTATGCATACGACACCGCACTGGGGTTTGATAACTCCTCCTTCGAGGCAATCGAAACATCACTGAAGAAGGACCTGAGCATGCTAGCTGAGTTCTTCAACATATGGCATCTCAAGATAAGCATACCGAAGACTGTACCATCAGTCTTCCATCTGGCAAACATATGCCTCAACCTAGAATTGATTAGCTTACTTAATGTGACTAGGCTAAATTTCGTTCCCACACCAAAGTACCTAGGTGTCACTTTTGATCGAAGCCCCACCTTCCACGAGTATGCCAAAGCCACAGCTCAAAAGACCCAAGCCAGATTATCTCTCCTAAAGAAGCTTGCTGGGACGAAATGGGGAGCTGATTTCATCACCCTTCGCACCTCCACCCTAGCACTTGCATTCTCCACCGCCGAGTATGCCGCACCCGCATAGAGCCACAACACCCATGTACACAAGGTCGATGTTGTCCCCAATGATGCTATGAGACTAATCAGCGGAAAACTCACTCGAACACCTGTCATCTTGCCAATACTATCTGACATACTAACAGCTCAGCTCAGACGAGATTTGCAATACATTAAGCTTTCCCCAAAGCATAACAGAAATGACTGCCTTGTTCCGGCCCCCTCTGCCTTTGACGGACAGTGTCTCCCTTGAAGACACTCTGCAACACAGGCTGCTGAGCTGCCGCTTAAGAAGCCCCCCCCCCCCCCCCCGCCCCTCCATCTAACCCACCTGGATAGCAAAACACTGGTCAGGCCAGTAGAATTCTTCTACTACTAACTTGAAGGAGTTCCTTCAAGAGCCCTGTGCAGAACCAAGTGGCAGTGACCTCTCAAGAAAAGCCAGGGTTAACCTCAATTGTTTCAGAACTAGAGTAGGCAGTACACCATATTTCCTGCATAAAATTGGAGATGATCTATAGCCAAACTGTGTCTGTGGAAAGATCAAAACTATGGATCACGTCACCGATGCTTGTCATATCTACAAATCCCCTCATGGTGCTTCAAGAGCTCGATGATGAAACCGTCAGTTGGTTAAATAAGGATCTTCCTATATATTTAGATGATCTACTCCTTGATATTCTTCAGACGAACGAACGAGTGCAGTACGTATGGCTTTAACACTGAATATTAGACCCAAATAGTATTTTGTTGTTGGGGGGTATAGTAATGATAATAATAATAATGATAATAATAATATGTATTATAATAATGATAATGAATAATAATGTAGTAATAATGATTTAGGTCGCTTCAAATCAATTAAAAGTTTATTTCCTTTCAAAAGGTTAATTCTAAAATATAGATATAAAGTTTTGCGAGCATAAACTTATAAACAAAAAAGAAATTTATATAAAGAGTCAGATCTACATGTATATATTTTCAACAATTATAAACAGAACAAAATAAAGAAGAGAATAAACAGTAATAGGATTAGTAGTGGTAATAGTAGTGGTGGTGTTAATAGTGATAAGAATAACAACAATCGCGATAATATGCCATTTTTATGATAAATAGGACTAATATTATATAATATATTACATTACATACAATATGTAATATATATATATATATATATATATTTATATGGGTGTGTGTGTGTGTGTATGGGGTATATATATGCAACAATGGAAATACCCGCATTAAAATGGTTATTTGGATTCGACGGACCCTGAGTCGACTTCTGAGCTTCGAAAAAAAATCATGCATAATTATATGTGGATTTGTATAGATGAATGCATGTACGAGTACTACACAGTCATTAATCTCTGACGATTATAAGGATGAAAATTGTCAATTCTTATAATAATGGAAATGACTATAACAAATATATGTGAGATGAATGCCAATGAGGATGTTCATAATATTATGAGACAAACAGAAGCCCACCTCAAAGTATATGACGTTGTGGTACCCGTATATGTATTCACCTATACATAACTACTATACGTACTTGTCTACATAATTTTTTGTTAAGTTCAGAAGGCGACTCAGGATCGGTCGACTTGGGGATTGCCAGACCCCATATCAACTCTCATGATAGTATTCCCAATTATGAAATATATATAATATGGCTCGGGGTAACAGACTAACCTGTAGAAGTACAGACCACGCCCACGTCTTCCGAATGTTCACAAGCGGTAGTTCGAATCGCACTGTGTGTGCATTCAAACAGGTTAACCTCATCTCCAGTACATTGCACCATATCCAGTAGTACATCGCCACCTCCTTGTCCAAAATGACCGGCTATTACAACCTCATCTGCTCCAGTATATCCCAATTGTTTACAAAGCACACTGGCCTCCCTGATGGTCCAAAGATTATCACAGATTACAACAATTATAAACAGAACAAAATAAAGAAGAGAAAAAACAGTAGTAGGATTAGTCACCTACAACAATTATAAACAGAACAAAATAAAGAAGAGAAAAAACAGTAGTAGGATTAGTAGTGGTAATAGGAGTGGTGGTGTTAATAGTGATAAGAATAACAACAATCGCGATAATATGCCATTTTTATGATAAATAGGACTAATATTATGTAATATATTACATTACATACAATATGTAATATATATATATATATATAGATATAGGAGTTGGAAGGTTACACTTTATTGGTACGAGTTATACAGACTGTTTCGCCAGAAGGCTCATCAGTAAGAGTTACTGATGAGCCTTCTGGCGAAACAGTCTGTATAACTCGTACCAATAAAGTGTAACCTTCCAACTCCTATATCTACATTTGCTCCTACAGTTGAGCACTGTCAGAAATTGCAGTTTCACTAAACTTGCTTATATATATATATATATATATATATATATATTTATATGGGTGTGTGTGTGCGTGTGTGTGTGTGTGTGTGTGTGTATGGGGTATATATATATATATATGCAACAATGGAAATACCCGCATTAAAATGGTTATTTGGATTCGACGGACCCTGAGTCGACTTCTGAGCTTCGAAAAAAATCATGCAAAGTGATATGTGGATTTGTATAGAAAAATACGTGTACGAGTACTACACAGTCATTAATCTCTGATGATTATAAGGATGAAAATGGTCAATTCTTATAATAATGGAAATGACTATAACAAATATACGTGAGATGAATGCCAATGAGGATGTTCATAATATTATGTGACAAACAGAAGCCCACCTCAAAGTATATGACCTTGTGGTACCCGTATATGTATTCACCTATACATAACTGCTATACGTTTGTCTGCATAATTTTTTGTTACGTTCAGAAGGCGACTCAGGATCGGTCGACCTGGGGATCGCCAGACCCCATATCAACTTTCATGATAGTATTCCCAATTATGAAATATATATAATATGGCTCGGGGTAACAGACTAACCTGTAGAAGTACAGACCACGCCCACGTCTTCCGAATGTTCACAAGCGGTGGTTCGAATCGCACTGTGTGTGCATTCAAACAGGTTAACCTCATCTCCAGTACATTGCACCATATCCAGTAGTACATCGCCACCTCCTTGTCCAAAATGACCGGCTATTACAACCTCATCTGCTCCAGTATATCCCAATTGTTTACAAAGCACACTGGCCTCCCTGATGGTCCAAAGATTATCACAGACGGTGCCCCATTGTCCTTGGTAGTAAACTTCCACTCTTCCCTCTGATTTACGAGATCCGTCAACCAGACGGGCGCCGATAACTTCAGGAGCTGTTTATTGAAGATAGAGAAGATATAATTAAATGAAGGAGAGAGAAATCGGTATGATTAAAAGAATAAAATGACATGGATTGAAGAGATGAATGGCAAGACATAACAACAAAAGCAGGGTGTACGACTTGTCAAATGACTACAGATATAATCCTACAGTATAGGTCCTTTACGAGCAAATTTGTTTAAAAAATAATACAGACATCTGCACAGTATTGATATGTGAACACACCTCGCCCCAATCGTTTTGATGCTTACATAATTGTGACACACACAGTGATACACTGAGCACACGAAACATCACGGAGTTTATTCACTAGATAATAACAAATAGAACAGAATACAGCTAAACATATATATATATATATATATATGATCATTATGTAAATAAAATTCTCGTGTTGAAGGATACATAAATAAAATTTAAAAAGAAGATTGATCGCTGTTATTTCTTTTAGCTGCATAACATTCCCAAGGAAACACGCCTGGTTAATCATAATATCCTTTTGTGAATTCCCTTGGAAACGCTATAATAAGGATTATAATTCATTGATAAAGACTGTAGGTAACGTCGAAATATTCTGAGCTATATAAATAGAGAACTATCGAATTACAAAGCTTGATAATTTTGATGTTAAACTTTCGCGTCACGATGTTATTCTGCCCACACGTGAACTTGATATCTAATACAGGGTATATAAAACAATTATTTGAATACATGAGTAAAAATATTCATACAATGGATATACATAATCTTTATGTAAACAATGCATAATGGAAAACAAACGGCCACCAAAAAAAAGAAAGAAAGGAAGCGAGAGAGAGAGAGAGATAGAGAGAGAGAAGTAGAAGAGGAAAAGGAACAAGGGAGAATAGCGTTCAGATAATATCACGTGAAACACTTAAAGTCTGCAGAGACCAACCACTTTGACAAAACTCCTGACAACTGAGATTTGAATGTTGTAAGGTCCAATATCAAATGCTATAAAATAATAGCTGTATGTACACTTTTGCCCATCAAGTTGGAACATTGCTCTTATCTCTTTTTTTATGAAGTGATTGTGAGGATATAATTTATTCTTGACAGACATTATACGAGAAATGGACAAGTAAATGTCGATGTATAATCACCAATCCATGCACAAAGAAGACGAAAGACCTGATGCATGGCTGATCTTCAACGAAACGGAGTTAAGTCTTTTGTCAACTTTGTTTGATTGATTGATTGATTGAGGTGTCATATGAAAGGACAGAAATTGAACTTTTTAGAAATGTGATTTTCTCCTTGAATTTAGATACAGCCCGCCAAAAGACTTTTTGGTTTCCTCTCTTCAAATTGCTTTCAATAACTCATGCATGAAATATGAATCATATGAGTTGCATCAAGTGAAAGAAGAGGATCTAAGCTTTCCAAATATGTGTCATTTATTAGTTATAATTGTGATTAAGTTATGATAAAACATCGATAATTCTCGGTTTCATTTTTTCTGGGACGCACTGTATTACCTCATCCCTCTCCTGCCACAAAAAGCTGAAAGTGAATACAAAACGACAGGAAGGTTTGTAGTGAGTTGCATGTATGCCGAGAAATTATAAATATTAACTAAACAGCTATAACCCGAAGGCCTTCTTTTTTCAATCTATGTGACTTTACATCAAGAGATAGCAAAGAATAACAAGATACATCCAAATATGAATAGCAAGAATATTAAATTAGAGGAAACTGAAACGATCAATTGTCGCATTCTGTACATGTAGGTTACATGTATATGTCAAAAAGAAGAGGTCTAAATCATAAAAACGGTCCCAGTTAGTATTCATATTACGTTTAATGGCGTCTGACTCTTTATACGTATTTCAAACTCATACTTGGTTGCCATAGAGTGGTAAAGTGTGCCGTCATCAAAAAACTATTTTGGGAATTTTCTCAATTTTCTTTCTTCATTTTCCGATAGAGCTTTAAAAATAATGTCCAAATGTCGAAAACCAACTGAATATGTTAAGTATCGGCTGAGATATGACCATCTGAATAAATTAATTTACTATTGGAATCAGTGTTATAAAGTGCGTCCCAGAAAAAACGAAACCGAGAATTATCGATGTTTTATCATAACTTAGTCACATTTATAATTACTAAATGGCACATATTTGGAAAGCTTAGATCCTCTTCTTTCATTTGATGTAACTCGCATGATGCATATTTCACGTATGAGTGATTAAAATGAATTTGAAGAGAGGAAACCAAAAAGTCATTTAAAACAAAGTGGAAAGCACCAACAAAAAGGGCACCTACAAAGCGAAATCTCAAAGCGATAATATACACTTTATTAGACATTGGTATATACCCTTTAATTGTGATTCCATTATCAGGGACGATTTCAACATTTGTTTTTCTTTATATATTATACAAGATATTGCTTGAGCATCACACTTTCGGCTGGGTGTGATTGTCTGAATATTCATTTGCGAGCGAGCAAAGCGAGCGAGAAAAAATGTAAGATCTGTGAGGTCGCAGAGTGAAAAATTACATCTTATAAAGAGGAAAAAAACCAAATCATGATGGGGTTATAAGCATCACGGAAGACTAAAAAATCCTTTGTTTTAAAGTGACATACAATTGTATCATCTATAAATGCGAGCGAGCGAGCGAGCTTTAGGGGAAATTACTCTTAGTCGCTTTAAATTAGGTGCAAGACTACTGATGAGCAGGTTAGGGGGCACGTGCCCCCCCCCCCCCGTGGCTACGTGCCTGATGGTGAGAGTTTAAGGGGACACTTATCGAAAGGGATAAAGACACTTATTAGAAAAGAAAAGGAGCATGTGTCAAGGTACAAAGAGTAATTATCAAAGGTTCAAACGGGGCACTTCTTACACCTGAAAGGAGGCACTCACCAGAAATGAGAAAGGGCACTTATGAGTATGGGTATGAGAAATGGGCATTTGTCGACAAACATCCATCAGGAAGTGATTTATCAGAGGTGAAAAGGGGATAGGTCCCTTATTAGAAAGGAAAAGGGGCACGATTCAAAATAAAAGAGCAGTTAGCAAAGTTGAAAATGGGAACCCATCATAAATGAAAAGAGTACTTATCAGGAGGGGAAGGGGTACTTTTCAATTTTCAAAGTAAAACGAGCATCTCTCAGATTTGAATAGGGGCAATTATCGGAGGTGAAGAGCGCACTGAAGTGAAAAGAATTAACTTCTCATATATGAAAATGGTCATTTACCAGAGATGAAAAGGGACATTTTTTATTTATGAAGGGCCTTATTTTTGTAAATAGCCCTTATCAGGTAGGAAAGGGGGCACATGTGTTGATGAAATGTGTGCTTATTCGAGTTAAAAAGGGGAAGGGGCACTTCTTTACAAAGTAAAAGTGGCCCTTTGGGGGTACTTGAAAAAGTGGGGCGAACTTTGCCCCCTACCCCTGCCACCCGCCCCATCATCTGAATATCCAAAATGATGTTGTAGGGGCCGGGCGCGGCTTTATCATGAGTGCTTTTATGTGAACCTCTTTTCTATAAATATATTATGCTGGATTCCGACCCAGATTACACACTCTAAAATGATAGTATGATCATCCCCAATACGCTTGCAGTTCACGTATGCACCCCTTCCTCCTAATCCATCGTTACCGTCACTGCCATTTACGTATGGCCGGCCGGCGTATTTTTTATTTACACGCTAGCGAGGGGAATTTCTCGATTAATTCCAATGAAACCGCTCGCGAAGAGTCTAGCCTGGATCGGAGAGCTCGCTAGTGCTATACGCTAGTGTGAATTTACATCCAGGAGAAAGTTTGCTTAACTTTTTTTTGAAACACTTGAACGGTTATGGAAACTGTTTGTGTTTCTAATCTCCAAATATTAATATTATTCTGCATCAAATATAAAACATTGATTTCTACTGTGATATGTAAAGGCACGAACTTACGTTAATACATACACATATTTTTTTTGTAACCAAGAAGGTGCACCATGGTAATACATTTTAACAAACACATCAACATGTTACCTAGACAACTCATCACCATAGCCATTGTAAAACCATATATTAATGATACATGTAAAATATAGATTGAAGCAATTCTCGTCAATTGGCTGTATCCTGAGTGTGATTTATATACTGTTTTTTAATATCATTTGCATCTACCTGTAGTTGAAGAATAGATACAGTGTATAACATCAATTAAGTTGGAGTTCAATTGGAAGTAAGTAACGAGGAATATTAAAACAAGGGAGACTGGGAGATGAGGATAGCAGGAAGTTAGAAATTGAGAGATTACTCGCGAGATAGCCTTGCATTAATGAATCCTTTATATAATGTTGTCTTGAGAGAATTTTCTTTTTTAATTGGAGATTAGTGCAAGTATTAGATTTATTGGAAATAGAATTGATGAGAAAGTTATTTTTATCGAGATCAATACATGGGGGCACCATCAAAATAGGGCACTTTCTGGAATATAAGGTGCACCTACAAAGGGAAACATCAAAATGTAAATCTACCATATTAAGACATTGAAAGACGTACGCGTAACGCATGTCACACACAGAAAAATGAGAAGAAAAGAAAGAATAATGTTTATAAAAAAGAAGATAGAGGAACAGGAGAGAGACAGAGAGAGGGAGAGAGAGAGAAAGAAAAAAGAAAAAAAAGGAAGACCATGAAACTTAACTTTACACTTAGGCCTACATATTACATTTCCGACTGAGTTGGCTCGACATGTGCTTAAGTAGTCTGCGGACGAAAGTACAACAATACGAAAACAGAAGTTATATAAAATTGTCTTTAAGAGAGAAAGAGAGGTTATTTCTAAAATGAAATGAAAGGGGTTATGTGACTCTCAAGGAGGAAATTACAATTTCTATCGCTCATGACGACTATTTGGAATTTCCTATTTTTTTTTAAGTTCAAGAACTTCCTGGGGCTCCGCCCCATGCAAGACTCCCGGCAACAGCAAATTATTTACACAATTTCTTGCTGTCTGCTGCCTCGAGATCACTGAAGAAAGGTAACATATAGCAAGAATCCCTATTCAGTGAAGGATTTATCCCTTTTATTATTAAAGACTCCCGGCAAAGGCTCTCCCCCTGCAAAATTGGAGAGAATTTTATGTAGTTTAAGCTTCTAACAACCACTCTCGTGGACCTTTTATTATTTACACAAAGGTATAAGTGTATAGCAAGAATCCCTATTCAGTGAAGGATTCATCCTTTTTATGCAGATTCTTCTTCTATTCTTGACCAGAAGTGCGTTTCAAACTCAATGATGTGGGCATCATCCCATTGAATGTTGTGTCCAGTGTTACGGGTTTGTTTTGCTACTTGCTGCCTAATCTGCGGGCTCTGTTGTGCTCTTTAAAAAGAGGACACAATAGGGGCAGCGCAATTTAAATATCAAGGGATGTATTAAAGTTTATTTCTAAGAAATGAAAGGGCTATTTGACTTTCAATAAAAACTCTAATCCATCCCTTGAAATTTAAATTGCACTGCCCCCATTCAGTGTGCTATTTTCAAAGAGCACAAAAAGGCTTCAGATTGAAGATTCCATCTCATAAAATTGTCTATAAGAGAGAAAGAGAGTTTATTTCAAAAGAAAAAATGAAATGAAAAAGCCCTTTCATTTCATTTTAGAAATAACTTCTCTTCCTCTCTTATAGACTATTTTCTCTCTTGAAAGTCAAATAGCCCTTTCATTTCATTTTAGAAATAACCTCTTTTTTTTCTCCTAAAGACAATTTCTCTCTTGAAAAGGCTCTGCCAGGCCTCTCAAGCTCTGCCATGTTGTATGGATCCATTAGAAAGCAAAATAAGCCTACTCAATAATTAATATATATTAAAACGTCATTGCGATTCATCCAAATAAGAAATCCATGTAAGAGGCATTTTGAAAGTTTTAAGAAAATTCCTTCAAATTCCAGGATATTGGGTGTTATTTTTCAGGAAACTCTATTTAAACGAGTGGAAGCACTGGCGGTCCTGTTTTTTTGTAACTGTAACAATGCTCCTTGGATCAGATATACACCAAAAACAAGCCTCATTATCTTCAGTATACAAGTGTCATTTCGGACCTTACAGCTTTCATAGAAATCGCTTCTGGACCGTCAAAGAAAAAGTTTAAGAAACCCTGGTCTACGCATTATACACATCAGGACCACTTGACAACTTGACAAAAATTTGAAAGGGGGGAGGGTTGAAAAGAAGCATAATTCCGACTCAGTTTCGCATAACCTAAAAATAAGAATACGGCCAGTCACCCCCCCCCCCCCCCCACAGAAATATATATGAATTGGTTTCCCCAATGTATCATTCGAGAGCATATTACTTCTTTGTTTATGAAAAGTAGAATATTAATTCAACACAGCTCATACTGTTCTCGCAATTACCGTTTGTTTTGGGGTTTTGATTTATCTGGGACGCTCTGTATGCGTTTGGTTCAATATTCTATATACGTATTCAATACTCACATTCGGTAGTCATTCCTTGTACACCCCACCATAGTACATGCATCCAGACTAGAATCTGCAGTATAGGGACCAATGTCCCCATCTTTATATTTCACGATTTATGAGACACACACCTGTAAATGCATAAGTATTCTGACACAATAGGCGCATTTATACTGTCAAATACCTCATTTTGAAAAGTCGCGATGTTTCGCACACCCGTTTACACTTGTGCGGAAACATCACCGACTGAAAAGCTCAGTGATGTTTTGGCGTGTTTTAGTTGGTAATGCGCATGCGCGGTACTCCGATGCAAAAACTTTCCTCTTTCTGTTTTTCCTTATGTTATTCTTTGTTTTTCCTTCTATCACCTTCTCTTATGTTATTCTTTATCACTTTCTCTTTCTGTGTTTCTTTATGTTATTTCTTTGTTTCTTCCATTTATCACACTCTATTTCTGTGTTTCCTTATGTTATTCTTTGTTTCTTCCTTCTGTATCACCTTCTCTTATGATATTTTTTGTTTTTTTTATCATTCTTTTACTTCCTCTTTCTGTCTTTCCTTATGTTATTCTTTGTTTCTTCCTTCTATTACTTTCTCTTTAGTGTGTTTCCTTATGTTATTCTTTGTTCCTTCCTTCTATCACTTTCTGTCTTTCCTTATGTTATTCTTTGTTTCTTCCTTCTATCACTTTCTCTTTAGTGTGTTTCCTTATGTTATTCTTTGTTTCTTTCTTCTATCATTTTCTCTTTCTGTGTTTCCTTATGTTATTCTTTGTTTCTTCCTTCTATCACTTTCTCTTTCTGTCTTTCCTTATGTTATTCTTTGTTTCTTCCTTCTATCACTTCCTCTTTCTGTGTTTCCTTATGTTATTCTTTGTTTACATCGTTCTATCATTTACTTCGAGGACGACAGCTATCTCCGCTCCTAAAGTCAAGTGACCTAACATCGCGATGTTACAACTGCGAGCGTTCATACTTGCCAAACACGCCAAAACACGCCAAAACACGCCAAAAGATCACACTTCGTTTTGGAATGTTTCGGGCTTGGCATGTCTGCCGGTAAAGCGTAGTTGCTCTTGGTAACATCGCGGTCAGGCTCCATTTTGGCATTTTTGGCGTGTTTGGAACACAGTGTAAATGCCCCTAATGAGCAAGTTACTGTGAGTAATTCATCTCTTATACCAGCCTCTCGCATGCACACATCACGTGATGGCATTTCAATATTGACATTATGAGGTTTATTTTGTTCACATAAAATTATGACCAACGGAGAAAAGGGGTCTTTATGACGTCACATAGCGTCATAGCGTAAGTGTAAATGACATTCTTTAATTCGCCCACATGTTTTGGGGTATTTTGGGGTATTATTTAATTTACAGGTCAAATATTGACTATTTTGTAATAAAAAATTAAAAGAAAAGATTATGTGCTGAATGAGTATTCCTTTTAAAGGGATCCGGTAATTACTTTGTCTCAGATTTTGAAACAAAATTCTGGATTTACTCATGCTGCAATGATAATTATAAACCTTTAGGTCAGTCAGGAACTCCATGACTTTTACAAGCCGATCGCCTGTCTGAATATCAAGATATTTATGATTGAAAATCGACACAAAATTTTGCGTTTGCCAAACGGTTTTCATAACACTACAGTATATTGGGGATAACGAATATGGTAAAACCGGTCACTCAAAGATTTATTCTTTTTTGAGGCACTTCTTGATTACTTTGAAGCGCGATATTTTTTTTTTTTTTTTAGGGCTTCAATATTACACCATTTTCTCGAGAAAATTTGAGGAAAACAATACTGTTTTTAAAAAATTGACCCTCGGTATTGGTATAAATTGTATAATTTGTCCTCAAGAGGGCGACATGCATTGATTAATAATATATTCATTTCACAACCTGGTTAATACAGCCATCGAAAGTGACCGTCCAGGAAAATCATCTAAACAGGTTGATATAAAATAGGCCTTGAACATGTTGACGTTTTCATGTATCGACTTGCGTTCTGAAATATATCTTTCCAAGTTCAACGAAGAGCTCTGCCTCAGAACAATATGACTTAATGAAAGGTAAATCGAACCTTAATAGCAAACAACTCTAAAAGAAAGGGGAAAATCAGAAAAGCAACTGGCGGGCAAAAGTTAGAACGAAGTCGGTCAAAAAAAAATGTTTTGAATTTTAAATAGTTGTAATCACTATACGTATGAGAACCTCAAATAGCCTAAAAAGGAAATGTTACTGTAATAAAGTGCTGGACAATTTTCCCATCTGTTCTAATACACAAAATGACTAAAATTGTTTTTTCTTCTAAATGACTCGGGAGGGTCCCTCTCTTTAGAGGACAGACGATTTTGTTAAAATCAAATGTCCAAGAAATCAAATGTGGAGTGCCTCAAGGATTAATATTAGGGCCTTATTGAATTTTTGTTAAAGATGTATTCATGATCTTCCTATAGTGTGTCGAGAATATTAAACTCAATTTTATTTGCCGACGTTACAATTGTTTTTTTTATCCCATCAAAATATTCAATCACTTCAAGATATATTTTTTAAGTTATTAAGAAATTAAGTTAAAAACACATGGTTTCCTGTAGGTAAATTGTCAATTAATTTAAGTAAGACATTATATGAATTGGAATACAACATGTGACACTGATTCCATTATTATTTGTTTGTGTAGTACAGAAATTAAACAGGTCTCTTCATTTTAATTTCTTGGCATAATCATTGATAAGAAATTGAAACGGACTATCATGTAAATGCTGTTTGAGAGTTGGCCATGCGATCATGACTACGTCACGGTTCACTGACAAAATTGCCAATTTGCATAGCTATAGGGATCTCATAACTTTGATTTCAAACATTCATTACTCTATTATTATTTGGTTCTTTTTATTTCAAGCTGTCCTAGTTTATTTAGCTTATTTTTCTGCTTTCATACAAATACAATTATTTAAAAAATTCAATTTGGTTAATTTTTGGATGTCACGAAAAAATAAAAAGAATAACATAACCAAAAAACAAAATCGAAACTTTTTAAACAATTTTTTTTTTTTTTTTTAAACATTGGTTTTCCTTTATAAACGCTACTATAAGAAAGCAACAACAACAATCGAAATAAATACAATTCTGTAGCAGCATGTATTTTTGGGTCTAGAATTTGTTGATTTGATTCATATAACTATAGCTCTCTTACCCCATTATTTATTTTATATAATTTCCTTCTTCGTCTTCTTTTCTCTTTCAAATTTTTCTCTCCCTCTTCCCTCTCTCTCTCTCTCTCTCTCTCTCTCTCTCTCTCTATTTTCCCCATCTCTCTCTACCCCCACCCTTCTACACCTACCCCCCCCCCCCCCCCTCTCTCTCTCTCTCTTTCTCTCTCCCAATATCATAACGTCAATGTGTTAGGCCTATCCTTTGGAGATATTAATGTAAAGATAAATTTGAGAATGATCCTCATTGTTAGGATGTTAATCAATAAGCTGAATTTGAATTTTAAAAGTCCCCTCTCTCTTCGCCACTCTCCCTCTCCCATCTCACTTATAGAAAGAGACCAAATTACCCCCCCCCCCCCCTACACTAGTACGTACGTATACGCCCCTGGCCATTTACGTTACAGTAGAGGATGTTAGTATACGTTATTTAATATGAGTATTAATATACCAAATACAAATGTAGTATTATTACAACGACTACAACAAATAATAAATTGAAACCAGACATTGAAGTTTGACCCCTATTAGGCAGACGTGATTGGTGCAAAAGCAATTAGGCCTACATCCTAAGGCACCGTCCATGCAGCCATGCCATCGACAAATATTTGCGATGCAATTTTTATTATTCTCACGTAATAACCTAAGTTGCAACATTGCTAAATTTAGAAGACAACTGCCAGTAGAAAATAATGAGGTGTTTTTATTTGTATAAAAAATAAAGAAATATAATAGAAAATAATGGCCACAATTGACGCAAAGAAAAAAGAATCTCGTCATCAATGACCTCATATTGCGAGCGAGCAGAGCGAGCAAGCGCTTTGGGGGAGAGAATTAAATTATTTAAGAAACAGCAACATGTAGAAATTATACAGTTTGATGAAAAGGATACTACTAATACTACTACTACTACTAGTACTACTGGTACTAATACTACTACTACTGCGACAGGTCTTGGATCTTGGATGACCTAAAATGGCCAACTCTAAATGAATTGTTCGACAAGGCCACTTGTTGTCTGGTTTTTAAATGTATTAATAATTTAGCTCCTCCAGCTATGTCTGATAGATTTGTACTACTCGATGATGTTATGCAACGTACAACTCGAAATAGTAATAAGAATCTTATGAAACCTTTTAAGTGCAATACTGAATTTTATTCTAACACTTTCGTGAATTATGGCGTGGAAGCCCGACTTTGTTTAATTATCAATGTATTTAAACGGATGATATCAGAGAAGTAACATGTTTGTTTTTTTTAATCAAACTCATTTTAAATTTGTATCTACTAAATTGGATCTGGGACATTTATAGGTTCTCTGTCAATTTTATCATGAATCCTCTATCTTGCTGAACATTGTAAAATCTGACCTTTCTTGCCATTTTACAATATTGTATCATCTGAGCGGTGTCTCACTTCCTGTTTTTTGTAATACAAAGGTCTTTTTAACTTCTTATATTGTATCATTATTTACTTTTAATATCGTCTTACCTTTACTATATATATTTGTTGTCGTATTTGATGTTATACTCTTTTTTTTTTCTCTCACTTTATTAAATATGTAAACATTTTGCATATGTATTTGTACTTTTACAAAGCAAGGCAACATGAAAGATAAGGTTTTTGTTTTTATCGTAACTTATTTCACATCGTTAGTTTTACATGTTTATCATTGTGCTTTGATGTTAATATGCTTTATATAATATTCAATTTGTTGTATTTTTTCTTCTTACTGTTATATGTATGATTTTGTTTTGAGAATTCGTATATATGTGTGTATTTTTATTGAGACAGGGCCTTATGGAAGACCAGTTTTTAATCTGAATGAGTACCCTGTATAAAAATGTGAAATAGATAAATAAATAAATAGTGAAGATAATAATGATAATAAAAATAACCAAAAAAATAATCTATCAACACATTTTGAAGTTTATATTGCCTATATTTAAGCCCCTATCAGGGATTTGCAAGCCTTCGAGAACTCATCCCAAAATGTATCTGTACCAGCCATGCAGATGAGGTTTTTTACAGTATGTGCAGAATCTCAGATCATCTCAGATTAAAAGACTTAGTGGTTTTCTTCCTATGAGTGAATATTGAAGCACTCATTTTCTACAAAATTGAATGGGATGAATAAAACAAAAT